CTTGTCAACCTCTTAGGGGGTGGAGAATAATGGGTGAGCAAAACAAAAGCCTAAACATACCGAACTCCTACTATGGTTCGAAGACCAGAAGAGTAGAAGTAGTAGTGATTAGACCAGAAAAGATGATTATATCATGTGAGACGGAGATTCAGCTCATCCTGAAGGGGACATCTCACGGCGCAAGTTGAGAAATAAAAGAGAAATAGGGATAGTTGAACAAATCATGGAAACTAACCCTACTATGCAAATGCTGTTGCTGATGAGGAAGAATATTCAAAAGTGTTTTTGTGATGTTGTGGTGCCAGTTGTTGCTTACAAGGAGAACAAAAGGTCACCCCCTCCCTTATGCCCTAAATGTAGCCTTAGCCTACAATGCTTGTTTCATAGCAGGTACAAAATAAGAGGTTCAATTCTTTCATTACATGGAGACAGGCATAATGGGGGTGGTTTGGGGGTGATAGGGGGGGCGTTTGGAGCCCTTCAAATAATTTGGCAAGAGAGAGAGAGAGAATGATTTAGATAAGGGGACAAAGAAAGAGAAAGAGAAATGAATGGAAGGAACGGAAAAGGAGTGGTTGCCAAAAAGAGTAGCCATGTGAGAAGCATGATGCTCTAGAATGATGCTGTCTCTCTTTCTAATACTTATTCTTCTATTTTAGTAGAAAAGGAATGGTAACTATGATCCCTCTCCCTCTCTCTAGAAAGAGTTGCTTATTCTACTCCCAACATGCTCTGTAAATATCTACCTAGCTACGCCAATCGTTGGTTGCTGATCTAAAAATAAAATAAAACTTTGATAATCATTCAAAGAGGAGCTACCTATCTAGCTAGGTTCGTTCAACTTGGATAAAAGATGATAAATTAGCAGGAGGGAAACTTTCCTCAGCATGTGGCTGAAAATTGAAATATGAAACCGACAATTTATAGTTTACAATTGATGCTCTTATCAGATGATTAAAAAGACGAAGCTATAAGAGTTTAAAATACATGTGTCCTGTAGTCTACTGAACGTGCTTAAATGAAGCATGTACGTGCACAGGCAAAAGGTGAACTGACAGAAGATAATTCTTAACATTTGCTAAAATAAGGGAGATAGGCAGCCAGCTAGTGGGTGACATTGAGAAAGGGCACTGAAATTGAGAATTACCTTTACTTTATAGAGACGATACATCCCTTTCATTTTGGCATGTTGAACGCTCCCTGCAGGCAATGTCATGATCTTTTAAAAAGCTTTTGCACCTATCAAGATTCCAGTCCCTGATTATTCAAATGGTCGCGGCTGGTGGCCCCTTTTTTTAACTTTGCCTCCGGTCTCTGTTAAAAAAAAAAAAAAAAAAGATAAGTTTTCACTTTCCACCAGGATGTCAATTTCTTAGCTGTTAAGCATTGAAAATCAACTGCAAGTCCAACCTGTTGCTTGGAAGTTGGGATGAATCTGATATCTGTTTGTTACAGATTTCTTAAAGCTGATTTACTTTGATTAAGTTTGGAGCATATGGTTATATACAAAGGCTGCTTCGATCGAACAGCAATTAATCCAATGAGATTAATGAGATTGAATGATAATCCAATGAACTAAATTTTTAGTAGCACGTCAAGGATGGATTACACATTAAAGTAGAAGACTGAAATTCAGAGAACGGAAATAAGCTTCCTGAAAAACCAGCTGGAGGCCTATCCATGTTAGTACATTTACTGAATCAAAAGTTCAAATGCAGTTTGCATTTATCTACTGCAGCTTGTTGATTTGGACTGCAGGAAGATTGTGGTTTATCTTGAGGATCTTCATTCTAACTTTTTCTACAAGATGGCAATTGAAGATATTTGGTTGGGCCAGTTGATTAAGCCTGCACTATGTTTCAGCTTACTACATATATTTAGAAGCAACAGTACTAGGCGCTATGCATTTCTACCCAAATGGAAAATAGATACAGAACAGAACCAAGATAAAAATGGCATATCCAGCACTCCAATGGCAGGATTCAATTTTGAATGTAGCGTTCAAAAATGGTGAAAGAACTAATAGTTTTAAAAGATTATAAAGTGGGTTTTTTTTAGTGAAAACCCAGAATAATTGATCCACTTTGAGCTTTCCCCATCCCTAACTAAAATATTTTTTAATGTTCTTACCACATTTACTTTTTTTTTTTTTGGATTATTGGATGATTTCTCGTTCCACTGAATTATAAGTGAATAACAAAGTGATTAATATTGTATTAGACCAAATAAAATAAGTAACCTAGGCTAGCAGACGAGAGGTGAATATTAGAAGATTGAACAGTTAAGGTTTGGTGATACCCTGGCTCCTTTCTTCTCTACCACAAATACCAGACTACGTACTGGAAAGCATTATCCTATAAAACTTGCATGTTGCAATTAAGAATTTGAGTTGATGGATTAGAAGAGTTGGATCCCCAGAAAGCAGCAGCAATGTCGTGCCTTCTGAGCCCTGAGTCCTGCCCTTTGTTTGTGGGCATGCAAACAAAGGTGAAATCAGAACAAACATGAAGTGACTGATGTGAAATGGTGATACCTCCCCCTTGCAATCTCTGCATCAAGAAATTAAAACAGCAGAGCTTAATTCTGCTGCCCACTTTTAACAACCCGACAACACTCACTTTTGGTTTTTCCTTTCCAGAGCCGCCATGGCCAATGCTGTTCTTTTCTGGCGGACTGATCAGCGACACACCGCCCCTTTTTTTCCCAAAATCATTATAGTCATATTGTTTGTTTGCTGGCCTTCTTTTATCCATTTCATATATAGGGAAAATCAATTGAACTACCTGAATTAATCAAATACTTTATGCTTTTCCCTTTTCCAAAGGAAAAATCAGTTGAAGTACTGGATTTTGCAAGTCGGCCCTTGCAAGCTATTTATGACATTTACTTATCAATACATGAACATAATTTGCTGTATATAATCACGTGATATATCCCATGTGATACATATGAAATATAAATAAATGTCACGGTTTAAATCGAAGTATTATTCGTTTTGAATCCGTTGAATCTTATGATTTTATCTAAAATAAATTAATAAATTGAAGGTGATGCAAATATTTATATTTTAAGGTGATGTAAAATGCATAATTTTTTTTAAGACTATAATCATAAGCATGCTTATATGCATAGCATTTTTCTGACATTAAAAATAACAGATGAATAATAATATTGCTTCACAGCCCATAGTTTTTGGAAGTTAATTTCCAGATCTCAACAGTAAAAGAGTTTCTTAGCTCTTAATCAATAAGGTAATGATTTAATAGTAGCTCAGCCAATCATAACCAATCTGAGCCGATTCACAGAGACAGATCCAATAAGGTGTCTATAAACATCCCGAAGATTGAAAAATAATAAAATTTGAAGAAAAATTTTCTTAAACACCTCTAAACTTTTCTTAAACATCATTTATGTGGATAAAATTTATAAATCTGTCGGTAATTTATTTATTTATATATACATATATATATCTGAAAAAAATTCATGAACACATCTGAACAAAATTCTAAATCCACTACTCTCAACTCATGAACATGTCTACGCACACATCAATAGAATTTTGTTTCATACACCAAATTCGTCTAATCACTTTGAACATGTTTAATACATAATCAAATTCAAACTGGCTGTAAATATAGCCATGGTTCTAGTATATGAATTTACCAGTCAGAATTGAAATATAATTTTTTATAGTTAAGCGTAATAATTAACTTATTATGTCGGTGAATGACCCAAATATCTTTAGGTAGTTGAAATATCAAAAAATGTCAAGATTGTATCTTTCAATGACAAACAGATTGACTTAACGACTCATTATGTGGTAAACCAATTGCTCTTGCCTTTCCCCACCGCACCGCCCTCCCTCCCAACTCCCCAACAAAAGGAAAGGAAAGAAAGGAATTGACAATGGCAAATCCAGAAAACAGTACCCTACCAGAAAACAGTACCCTACGAAACTAAAAATGACTCAATTCCTCAAACAAAGTCGTATAAAACAAGGGTCGTCAGCCTTTTCTTTGCCAAATAAATGATGTAACATGAAACTAATAATATTAAATGTCACATGAAACTAATACTATTTGCTGCTGAGAGTAAAAAAAAATGATGTTAGCATGTACCGTTTTAAAATCAAAATTCAAACCAAACTTTAGCCTTTTGAATGCCTTTTTGGGGTAATTAATCAGCTCATCCTGCTGAACATAATAACTTGGCTGAACCCATCATTTGTCGCCTGCTTGATGAGTCTGAATTGCCTTGTCGGTCGTCTGCTCAACAAAAAACTCATAAGGGTCAAAAACTCATCTTGTCTCAATATTTGCGGCATCTACCTCTATTACTTATGAGCTCTTTTTATTTTTTAACCCCTCGTCACTTTCACAAATGTTGGAAGACTTATTAGTGATTTTTTGTTTTTAAATAACAAAGGACAAACCCCAATAAATTCTATATCCTTTGTGTAATATAATGAGCCTAATTAAAGATTAGAGATATGCCAATTAAATCATTTTATGATCTCTCAAGCGTTTGTATTTTGAAATAAAAATTTTCAAAACGGGCAAAAAATAACTTCCAAATTATTTCTTTTTTTTTTCTTGATTATATTACTTTTAATTATATAATATCGATCTCATTTATAATACTTTCTGTTTATGCTCAAGCTCAACGCATTGTACAAAAAAAAAATAATAAAAGAATCAAAACAAGCACTAAAACCTTTGTTAAAAATGCAAACTTAGTACAGCAGAAGATTTGGTCATAACAACAAAGGGGAAGGAAATTAGAAAAGAAAATTGTTAAGAAATGTAATTAACACAAAGAATAAAGTAGACAACAAAACTTTTCTTTCTTTTTTTAAATCTTTTTACACAATTAAAGTAACCCACCTCTCACTAAAAATAAATAAATAATTCACAAACTCAAAAAATGAGAAAGTGAAAAAAAAAAAAAAAAAAAAGGGAGTTACAATATCAGCTTCTAATTTTACTTCTAGCTTGGGTTGATCAAGCAGCCGACGTCACCATAATACGAGTCAACGGCTGTTCTTCCTCACCCTTATTATTATCACAATCATCGGGTAGCAATGTATCAACACACGTCAGCATCTGGGCCCTCTTAGCTTGTAGGTCCCAGTCAGTGGACCCCACCACATACAGCATAAGCCCAGCGCAGCATACCTGGGCCGAAAGTAGGCCCAACCAAAGTCCAGGAAACCCGAATCTAAGGTAGAACCCGAGACCAATCGCCACGGGCATGCCCACCAGGTAGAATGCACCGAGGTTCACATTAGCTGCGGTGGTAGGACGTGCACTCCCTCTGAGGACCCCACATCCCACCGTTTGCGGGCAGTTCCCAAGCTCGCATAGCCCTAGGATGGGAAGAGCATTGGATGTCAGCCGCAAGATCTCGGAGTCAGAAGTGAACATTGGGGCCCACTTATTCCTCATCCCTGACGCAAACGTTGAAGCTGATAGGCCCATTATGGCTGATACGAACATCGCCACCATAGCGGATAATCTCGCTTTATAAGGACGGTTTGCACCTAGTTCGTTACCAACGCGAGTTGAAACTGCAAAACCCAGTGAAGAAGGGAACACGTATATCAACGACGTCGTTTGGATCAATATCCCCATGGAAGCGACCGTTGCCCTTGGGTTCCCCAAAAGCCCGCACAAAACGATCATGATCTCGTACCACCACCACTCCAAACAAACCGAAACGCAGCTCGGCGCGGCTAGCTTGAGCAGCGGTTTCCAGCCGGTTAAACATTCCAAACTGGGCTTTTCCCACGTAGGCTCGTGTAGGCCGGAGGCCCAAATATAAGCAACCAAGGAGACGAGAACGAAGAAGTTGGAGATGGCAGCGGAGACGGCTACGCCAGCAACGCCGAAGTTGAAATGGGAGACGAGTAAGAAGTTGATGGGTAAATGGAGAACGGTGGCGATGAGGGTTGCCAAAGTGAGCGGGTGGATAATGCCTTGAGCTCGAAGGTAAATGCGGATTGGGTGAATGAAAGAGTTGGTGAAGAGGTCAGGGAGGGAAAAGAGTAAGTACGTGTGGCCGATGCGGGTGATATTAGGATCTTGATGAAGATAAATCAAAATGTTGAACATGTTTATCCAAAGAAAAGAAATTAATACGGAAGTGAATAAGAGGAAAATAACGTAGCGGTGAAGGGTTAAAGACAAAAGCTTAGGTCTTTGAGCACCAAAGGCTTGGGAACAGAGTGGTTCCATACCTAAGGCAAGACCAGAGAGAACTGAGTAGCCTGTGATATTAGCAAAGGCTATAGCCAATGAACCAGCGGCAAGTTGGATATCGCCGAGATGGCCAAGAAAGAGCATGGAAAAGATGGAACGAGAATAGAGAATGAGACCAGTTAGGGCTATGGGGAAGGCTAGATTGAAGAGTGATTTAGCTTCTGTTATGATCTCTGATATCGAAGGGTATACTTGATGCCGCTTTTCCGGGTTTTTAATGGAGTTGAGTAGTGGTATAAGATGGTAATAGAGATGGGTTTGAGATGATTTCTCAGTTGAAGTAGAAACTGTTGGGAGGGTAGCGTTGGTGGCTTGGTTACACATGATGATGATGAGAAGGAAGAAGAATCAATGATCAAAGCAAATCCTGTTTGTTATTTTTTCGTTTCAACTCTCATAAAGAGTACTCCTTTTCTTTCCTTTTGCTCTCTCTGACTTTGTATGGATTGTAAGTTTCCCTTCAGGGATAGATAGAATGGTTTTGATTTTCAGCTGAGATAGCTAGGCATATTAATAGAGGAGTAGAGATGGGGTTTTTTTTAATTTTTTTTATTTTCTTTCTGTTTCTTTTTACAATATATATTATGTATGAAGTGAGCAGTATATATATATGAACGGGGGTGGTGACTGGTGATGTAGATATATACTGTGATTTGTTCTTTTTTTTAAGGGTATAATAATTTTGTTACTTTATGTGGTTTTGAAGAAAGAGACGTCAGGGGTTTTGTCAGATGGTTCAACTTCCGATCAGTGAAATGGTGTTTTTACGAGAGAGATTGTTCTGTTCTTGGTGATTTTGAGTATTCGTATCTTCTTCCTCCGGCAGCCTCACCACTGCTCTCCTCGTCCCCTTCTCTGCTCTTTCATAGTAAGATTTTATACGTAAAATTATTACTACAGCTAGCTTTTTACTCCTCTTGTTTACCCTTACGTGTTAATTCTGATTCAGTAACTGAACCCTCCGCCGCAGTGAAAATACTGTGTCGGTCTTCTACGAATTGTTTTGGCTCTCCTGGAAGAGGTTGGGGACGTTTTATCTATACTTTTATTTATTTGTTTATTCTTATTTTCACTTTATCTTCCAGTTATTTTTGAAAATTTATTATTACTAGCTTTGATTGAGGGATTTGAATCTGAAAAACAAATTCAAGTGCTCCTTGAAATGCATGTGGACTGCAAGTGGGTTGCCCTTGCCCTAGTTAGTGACATCTTTTTAGGACCTATGCCTTGTATTAGTGCCTTAATTTAATTACACCCTTTTCTTAATAGGATTTTCTTCTTATTCTTTCAATTTTTTTTTGAAAAAAAATTAAGTGTATAAAATATTCTTGGCGTTTTTGTTTAGTGTATTTGTCACTAAGTTATGACAACTTCTATTTTTTTTTTGGTACATACAACTTTGATTTTCAAGTTCTTCTGTTTAATATTTATATTCTATATTTTTTTTTCAGTATATGGGGTGTGCTTAATTGCTTTACAACTTGAATTTAATTTAATTTTTGATAAATTTAAATACATTTATGAGATCTTGATCACTTTAATATATTGATTAATTATAAAATGGTACATATTTTCATATGTACACAATTTTTTATAAGCATTTTCGTTTCAACAAGGAAATTAGAAGAAAACGAAAGAAATAAAAGGCGAGGAACATGTTGTAAAAGAATTTATTAGTGGCAGAAAATAAAGTACAAAACTACAGAGATGGTAACGAGACGAGACGGGTCACACGTGCAGTTAGGAACTTGCTTTTGCCTTTTGATACCTTTTTTTCTTCTGGCATGCCTTAAAGTGCTATGGAGAACAGACAGAGTGGGCAGGGGTCGAAGACGAAGAACTGGTGAAAGTGAAAGTGAAACAAAGGGGGAGGGGGGCGGCTGAGACTGAGAAGACTGTATTAGAGTTGGCAGATTCATTTGTCTGATTGGACGACTGAGATTTCTGTGCCAAAATTTTGGACCCCGCATCAAGCCGGTCAAGGACCCTTTCGCTTCAGCTAAAACACCCCTAAACTAAACTGGGATTTTACTGCCAAAACTGCTGTTGCTAGTCTCCCCCCACCACGTCATTTCTCGTCAGCCTGCCACTTTTAATTCAATCTTTAAAGTCAACCCCTCACAATGAAAGAAGATTACCTATAAATTATCTACCTTCTTCTGGTAGAAATGAAAGTAATTATCATGCGGGGAATTAACCCTTTTTTTGGGGTCACGTTTATAATTAAAGCAAGGGATTTGGAATAATAATGATGGTAATTAATAACAAGATTTTTGCATGCAAGGGTAGGGGAGGGTCAATCAAAACAACAGCTGGATAAGTAAAGTACGCGATCAACGGAGGACAAACAGCCAGGCAACATTCAAGATAGCTGGGATTTCCCAAACAGATGGAAGAATGGAGACATAAACCTTTTTTTGTTTAACAAAATTTTACTCCCCCCCCTAAATCTGCGCATCTCTTCCTTAATTTTGTTTCGCTCTCTTTCTTTCTTTGTTTCCCTGTGTATGTTGAGTTGGCTGTAATTGACTGTTGTTGTCGTTTTGTCTTAGAAAAACAGGAAGAGAGCCAACCTTGTATAGTGAATATGACCCACATATTTGGCTGTAGCCCCAACTCCCATTCCCCCATCTGACACTAGGTGTCCCTCGCCTTCGTGCACCACTTCTTGTGTTTCTTTAACGGGAGCGCCTTCCTGTTTTCCCTGTGCTGTCAGCTGTGCCGTTTTTGTGGGCTCCCTTCCCCTAAAAAGCATTTTTGGTCTTGTTCTCCAAAATCAAGTTGTTCTCCAAAATCTTGACGGTTGATTTTGGACCATTTTATTCCCAACTTGGGTAACATATAAATGCACCAAAGACTATCTCTTCTCATCCCTTCGTTGATATATATCTTTTCTGCCAATTACACTCTATGAGGGGAAGACTCTTCTTCAACTCTATGCCTCCATAAATATCAAAGATTCAATCAAGTTGACATGATTTCTAGTCTTACAATTCAGAATTAAGGAATTAAGTCTTGTTAAATCATCAGCTGGCTAGCTATAGTTGCATATATTATACTACCAATAATAGGAACTATCTCCAACAAATCATTGATGGTCAAATTAAGACCAGGCTAATGATAAACTTGGAAGGTGGAGTGTAAAAGGCTTCGAGAGGGACAGGGCAGGCAAGAGCCCCGTGGTGTTAAACAGCTTCAAAGTTTGAGATTGACAGTGAGTATCCTTTTGGGGTGATGTCCAGCTGATATATGTGTTACTCCGATGTAAGTGATCATGGTTTCCTGTCAATTTTCTATGCAAAATTAACAGTAAATTTAATCTCTAACATATTGTAATTCTTTTAATTACTAAAAATAAATGGTTTACAAAATTTGTAAATATGTATCTCAAAAAAAAAGAAAAATCGTGAATATGTATTTTGGACCTTTTGGTCAAATGGTTTAGTTCATATCTTTAAAGAAGTTAAATGCTACACGTCTTAATTTCAGATCTCTTATTTCTTTACAGATTTTAATTTATCCCAAAGATCAAGAATGAATTCTTGTTGTAGTGGTATGTCCCACTATATATGGTTCTCTTTGGTCCAAAACCTTGGGTCGTCTTTGAGGGTGTGGTTACAAAAGTTTCTCTCATTGCCAAACCAGAGAAAATTGTGAGTTTTCCAACAGTAAAATACTGTACTAAATTGCTTCTCAATTTAATGCATATCGTTACGAGTCAATTATTTGTGGGACGATTATGCTTAAACAGTGAAAAGTGGGGCTGCTGCAATTGATGTCAATGGTTCTCTAACAGATTCTACGAACAAAGGCATCTAAGTTACCAAAAATGCAACATTTTTCTAAAGCTTGTGCTTGAAAAACATTTCCTAATGCTCCAGTTTTATAGTTTGGTTTGTTTCCATATCAAAGATCAAGCATTTAACCCCTTTAATGATATAATTGAAAACATCAAATAAAAGAATATAATAATATTAATAATTTAAATCCAAAATTTAACTTAGTTATTTCAAATAATCACTTTTGTTAGATGACATTTAATAGATTTAGAATTTAAATTCAATATTTATAATTCTTTTATTTTCAAATTACAATATCCTATTTACAAAAACATAATACTAATAATTCAAGTCCACTAAATTCTTTCCTTCTCCCTCCCCACTACGTTGTCTGCATGGGGTCCATTATGCATTATTTGCATCATAATTTCGCAGATAACATAAAAAAAAATATCTTGGAAATATTTTAAATTGACTTTCTTTAGGATGGCTATGAGATGGCAATAATCACTTGACATGTTGGCGTTAATAAACTTCACTTTAAAAATTCTTATCAAATATCCCCCATACAACCATCAGAATGCATGGGAATAAAATTCTAGTGACAATTTGTTTATTTATTTATGTTTCATTGTTACAAAAATGAGAAAAAAAAATTATGAGAATTGGACGCGTGGCAGCACCCTAGATGTGTAAAAGCCAAACTTTTTACAACAAATCAATTCTCTAGTCTCCTCCTTTTTCCCTGTTACATATGGAATTTGCTTTAAGCCTTCTAAAATTCCCTTTTGGCAAAAAGCTTTGCTCCAGCACAAGCTTAAAAGGTATGAGCATAAAGCTAACTGCAGGCAGCACATCACTTACACAAACCTCAGCCTGATCTTATTTTGTTTCTTTTTCTTTTGCTTTTCTTATGTAATTATCACAACTCACAACACGATCACTGATCAGCACAGTGCAGGTATCCTTTCATTAATCTTCTGCACTAGCTCACTAAAATCAATGGTGTAGGCTTATTTGTTAATTAGTTGATACCTTGATATTTTCGAATAACAATGTTTCTAAGCTTCAATTGGCAACGTTGGGAAGAAACTCTATTATGGCGTTTTATGATTGGAAGAATGAATTCTTAGTTAATTCGACCTATTTTTTATAGGTTAGTCAATGTATATATGTGCAAGAAACAAATGGTTAGCTTTAAGCTACAAAGAAGTATGTGATTCAGATTTCACCATCGTAATTGACGAAGCTAAATTTTCCAGGGTCGACGGTAGGTCCCATATATGCAGTTGCGGCTGCAGACTGAATGCTTGAAGGAATTTAATCAAAACACTCGAAAAGGAAAACACATTACATGCTTTAACAAGGCAATTGCATTAGTACAAGTGCAGTCAATATTGGATGTTGACTCCGCCAATTATAATTGTTTCCAGGCTCAGGCAAAACTTGTCAGGACGACTCAACACAGCTGGACTCAAATGATGCTTTAAATTACAATTTCCTTCTTATATATATATGCACATGATTTATGAAAGGTTTTAGCAGAGAAAGTGCTGATGAAGGGGGATCTTTTACAAGGCCAGCTACTTGGCTCACACGCACAGCTCATCTCCACCTCCAAATTCCAAATTCCAAATTCCAATCAAAGGTTCCAATGTAAAGAACCTGTATTTGTCATATCATGGATTTATGATTTGCATGCAGACAGTGATCTCAAACGCAACATGGAAAAGAAAGTCCCCTAACCGTAGGAGGGGTATGGTTGCTTTGCTTTATAAGGCATATATGTTCAATTTCCCATTATTTGAATGTCCTATGTGTATGGGACTTGAAATCCTATTCTTGTTCCTTTTCTCTTTCTTTTTCCTCCTATATTCCCTTTGCTTGCAAGGCTTGGGGGATGGGTTTTATGATTGATCAGGTGGTACCTTGTAAAAAACGGGTCATTAAAAAGAACAAAAATAGGACCAAGTTGTAAGAGACCCACACGCATGCCACATCCCACGTGGGGCGCATTTCTGCACATGGTTTGTGAGACATTCTTGTCGAAATCCACAGTGTTCATGACCTTTTCTTTACTAATTATTCAACCATGTATGTATTATTTCCACCCTAGCCATTTTCAACGACTAGGCTCCAAAACCCTTTTTCAGTTTTCCATGTAAAAGAGCAAGAGAAAACAGATACAGCTTTGATTTGATTTTTCGTAAGTTATTTTAATTGTTAGTAGTTAACACCTTGGACTAGGACCTTCAGTTCAGCCACAATGTTTGACCCACTTATTGTTCTTCAAGACTCAAGGTAAAAAGAAAACAGACAAATTGGCAAATGGATTTGCTTTGATTAGATTTAGACCTTTGAAGAGGAATTATAGTCAGATTGGTCGTGTTCCACGAAGTGAACACATTTTTTAAGGTTTGGATTCCTTAATTGATGCAGAAGTGATCGGAGAGTGATTCTGATTCTAGAGGATTGCAATTATCCCACTCATCAGTCATTGGTGGCCCTAACTATCCTGAAATCTTCCATTAAGGATAGAATATAACTTTTTTTTTCTCCTTTAAAGCATATTGCAGTCTCATATAAACTAATCTTCATTGTAAAATGTTCTTCATATTCATGCCAAACATAAAAAAGTACTAGTCAGCAACATCAATTACTTACCACCATAATTGGATGAAACAAAAGAGAGATTATCCGATCCCATTTGACAAAAATGATAAAAGGAATCAAGTGAAAACGGTTTGCGATTAATATACAAAGCTCAAGGAATGATGAGAAATAGATATGATAGGATTTGGGGGGTCAACTCACTTCACCAACGATGTTGGAAAGGTCTTTTTGCTTGGTAGAATGAAGAGTTTTTTGGATACAGAAATCTAAAGAGTCCCTCACAGTCATCATTTTTTTTTTTCGTTAAATCTTTAGATCCCACCAATTAGGTCACCACCTTCCCCCACCAATATCGAAGGACAATCAAGAACATGTATATATATGTCAAGTCAAATTAAGGCATGCTACCTTCGATCACTTTGTGATTTGATTCCTTTTATTCTCTGGTAAAAGTTGTTTTGGACAATTTGGAGATAGATCATGACAATTCATTCAAAGAAACAACATCAATGTTTACATGATATAGATAAAATGCATTTGAAATTAATCATATATGAAAATTTTATCCTTATTGTCGTAATATTGTCTCATCATTTGATCAAAATGAACTATTCTTAATAATTAGAAAAAGGAGATAAAAAACAAATCGATTTTTACTTCAGGAAATAAGTTTTACTATATATACACAAAAGTTCATGAAATGAAAATGTGCGAATTGATCCATGCATGCATTTGGATCTTAGTTAAACGAAGCATACATGCGTTGATTTTCTTGTGGATTAATACATAATACAATAAGAAAAAAACTCAAAATTAAAATTTAATTGAATGGAGGGGAATCATAATAGCAAACATATATAAACATATATATATAGATATATATCCTAAAAATTAAGTAATGATATTTGTTTAGAATTTTTTATAAAAAAAAAAAGTAGTAATTTAAGAATAAGAGAAAATATTCAAAATGCTGAAAATTTTGAATGCCAATGTAACCTTAAAGATAATAGTACGAACAAAATCCAAGGTAGGGTTGGGAATGAGAGATTTAAAGGTTAATTAATGAGGAATCTAATGATACTTAGCGTTGAGAAACATAATTATTCCCCTCTCTAAGTCAAAGGGACATGCTTTCGAGAAACCAACCCTAGCAAGGGAGCCCGCGACCTCCCCCCTAAAGGAAAGATACAATATGGACAAAGGAAGGGGACGTACTTTTTTTTTTTGTACCAAAAAAAAAAAGAAGAGACGGATTGAGGAATATCTCCCCAAGGATATAGTTAGATGGTGTCGCAAATGTGATAGGCAATTAAAAGTTACAACCAGCTAATTGACTTTAAGTACTTTTTCACCATTTTTTTTATAATACAATAAGGGAAACAAAAAAAAAAATCATAATTACACAACATGTGAAATTAAGAAATTAATTAAAGGTGATAAATAAACACAATTAGATTCATTTAGAGACATAATAAATAATATTTTTACCCCCGCTTAGTAAGATATTAAAAACAAGGATATGATAACATGAACACGACAGATACGGGCCTAACCATAGCCTGCAAGCTTAAAAACTTTGGGCCTGGAACCCACAATAGTTTACTTTCCAATGATAGTTCCAGCTTTCCTATTGTGGCAAGGCCCGTGATCCATTTCCAACTCTCTGGATAAATCTGGAACATATTCGAGTAGCGACATTGAAACAACCCAAGCGGAGGAAAATCCATAAGCCACCGCCTCATCATTGATGTTCTTATACAGCTCTCTCTGGTTCTTCGTTCTGCTTTTCTAGACTCTGGAACTCAGCCCTACAGATTCAAGTTCAACCCAGCCACTGGGTCGAAGCCACTGGCTCGAAGCATGAGGCCTGCTACAAAATATACAAATTTGCTAAGCTGAAAACAAAGGATTGTGAAATACAACAAAGGATGAATTACCATACTACAAAATTCTGTAACAGTTCCATAAATATTAAAACTCGCATGTTTGGTAGACCAGTGATGCAACTGTCATGACCTCCGTTATCTGCTGCCGTGATGATGGCATTTTCGAGCATATTGGCTTTTTCATTCACAGCCTGAAAAACGAAGAAAAAGTTTTGTTTTTGGGATGTTAAATGTAAAACATTCTAGAGAGAGATTTTTTTGGCTGCATGTAACTAATCCATTGACCAATGCTTGGAATGCAATGACAGATTCGGAAATTTCCCTGAAAACTTGATGGTCACTGTGTGTGATTTTGTATGCCACTTCAAACTGCTGAATTGTTTTGAAATTTATATGATTTTAAATATAAAAAAAGCAGTGAGTTGCGTGTAAAGGTGAGTAACAGTCAATTTGAATCGATTAGATTAATCGAAATCAAGTGAATTCGGATTTGATTTATTTGATTTTATTTATAATTAATTTTTAAAATTAGTTAAATTAATTAACTAATTAATTTTTTATTTTTAAAATTGATAATCGAATTAATCAATTTTTTAATAAAAAAGATAAAAAAATTAATATGAGTATTTTTATTTTTTGTAAATTATTATTAAATTTATTAAATTTTTTAATAATTTAATTCAAATGATACTTAAATTTAAATTTTATTAAATTGAATTTGTTATTAAATAATTATTCATAATAAAAATAAATAAAAATTTTTTGATTATTTAACTGAACTAATTAAATTAAACTAATTTTGATCAATTTGATTATGATCGATTATTTAAAATTTTTTAATTAATTTAATTATTTATTGAATAAAAATCGATTAAATTAATTATTAATTTTTTTAAACTGAATTGATTGATTCGATTAATTGCTCACCCCTAATCACATGGGAGGCAAGCAGGCAAACCATGTTAAATGTTGTTGCAAAACGTGGTTCTTTCAAGTTTCAAGTAAGAAAGCCGACAGCACCCATATGGGAATACCTCCCTCTCTTGCAGGAATTAAGAAACGAAACAACATATACTACTATCATCTTTTAATTTTTTTTAAATGTTCGAAATCCATGCCGTGTTTGTTTATTATTACAGTTTGACGTTTTCTTTCTTCCAAGGTTTGACACATTAATTTTGTAAAATAATTAAATTGAATTCTTCATTCAAACCAAATTAAATTAACCTAATATTTTCATGTGTGACTGCCTGTCGATTTTTTATTTTAATTATATATTATTATTTAGAAAGGAGAAGATTCGGATTTTCTTCTTTCTTTTCTCTTTTAATTAGAAAAAATAATAATAATAATAATAAAAAGGTGAATGGCACGTGCCAGCGCACACGAACGGTCTAACCTATCTCTCTCGCCCAATCCGTCAATCTCTGCTGAGTTTTTTCTTTTATTTTTCTTGTAACAATTTATATAAAAAAAATTTCATATAATTAAGAATATTAACGATACATTAATACTCATAAATTATTCGAATTCGATTCGATTATTATCGAGTCGAATTCGAATAGTTCGATTCATCGATCAAATCAAATTCGAATATTTTTATATATGATTCAAATAATTCTCGAGTTTAATTGAATTTTTATATTTAAATTTTTTTATTATTTTAATTAATAAAATATCTCGAATTCAAACTCAAATTTGAATACAAATAATTAAGCTCTTGTCGAATATAAGAATCGAACTTATTTTAATATATTAATCGAATTTAATCGAACAAGTTCGAGTAGTTCAATTTTGATCACGAATCGAATTCGAATTAAAAAAATAAAATTCGATTAAGTTCGAATTAAGTATCGAACCGTAAATTAAAAATCAAATTCGAATTCAAATTTTTCACTATATCAATTTAATTCGACTCGATTACAACCTTACGTCTAATTGTCTCTCCCTCTTCATTTTGTATTTTTTTTCTAATTTTTTCTTATTTTTGTGGGGTAAATAACCTTTTTCCTTTGTCTGCCCAAAATTCAAATCCAAAACTATAAAAGTTACGCCCTCTCTTGGTCTTTCCTTGTTTCTCTCCGTTTTCCTTTCGGAAGGATTCTCTCAAAGACCCAAAATCAACTAACGCACTTCCTTCATCCAAACACGGAGAGACAAAGAGAGAAATAAAGAAAGAAACAGACAAAACTTCCAAAGCTAAATTCTAGGGCTTTTTTCTTTGTTTTGCTAATTAGAGAGCCGTTTCCGTCAACGAGGATTAGAGAGGGAAGAGGAAAAAAGGAAAAAAAATACAGTAGAATGTCTGCATTGGACCCTATCGATTGCCTTCTCTTCTCTCTCAGCAGATCTTTCTGTAGTCCTCTCGCCGTTTTTATTCAGATCCAGGTTTGTTCTTTTCTCTTTCAGATCCATTTTCTTTCTTCGGTTCTGCACAATGTTCATAATTAACCTTAAACAGAGCCAAATATATATATATATATATATATATATATATATATATATACTTCCTCGCCTTTTCGCTGTTTGGACAGATTTAGCATTTATAAATAAGCTGAATTGTTTTCGTCTTCTCGTTTAACATTTTTTTAAACCTCATTTTGCGTTTTTTCTCAGACATTAAATGGATATTTGGTTAGATTCTTTAAAGAATTTATAATTTCCTTTTTACAGCGAAGTTGCATGGTTTTCATTAGGATTGGATCTAGATAGCTAAGTTTAGAACCAAAATAATAATAATAATAATAATAATAATAATAATAATAATAATAATAACAAGAATACTGCTTGTGACATAATGGAGATGACATGTTTGAAATTTGGTCAGATAGGTGGCTGTTATTAAGATGGTTAGCAATGTATCTTCCATTTCTTTGAAATGATTACGAAGTTTGTGGATGTAAATTACTTAATTTTGCATTGAGCATGTAATTGGTAGGTATTGAGGCAATAGGGGTTTTTTTAAGCTCTGAATTGAGCTTTGTTTGATATAGCATTGAAATCAAAATGGAGGAGAGAGCTCCTTCTCCTAAAATACTATTTTTCCATATAATGGGAGCTTTATTTTAGTTTATTGATTTGTTTGAAGGCTGGCATATGAATTAATGTAACAAAGGTTGTCTCATTGGACGGCTGATGAAGTCAGCTTCCAACTAATTGATTTATCCAAAAGAAGAACTAATGAAGCATCTTTACTTTTATATATTACTTACAATTTAATTTTTAGAGGAATTACAATGGTGGACTAATACGTGTTATCTGCAAAGCTAGTTGATATTTTTCCACTTTTTGACTAATGGCTTCTGTCTTTTATCACTTTGCAATCACTACAATTATCTACTTTATGGAAGCAGTATTTTCATTTTGATTATCATCAATCAGTTGCCTCTTTCTCTCATTCTCTCTGCCTGTTTAAAATCCAAGAAGGTTACCAATCTGAATATTTTATGTATGGCGTAGGGATGTGTAATCTGCTTAACTCTTGCTATTGGGTGGGCTTTTGCTGCTTATGTCAGGTACATGCTTTTAACGATGAGAATTTGAACAGCAGGCTGCCATGACTATTCATGTCGTCACATGACTTAGAACTAGAAAACTTGCCTATTTCATTTATATATACTTCTTTTTGCTCTTCACAGGAACAGAGAGATAAATCGAATCAAGGATGGCATGAAAGGTGGCAATAGCTTTGCTTTTCTGTGCCATGATATTAATGAACTTGAGCACTCAAATCAGGTCAATCTACCAAGAGTATCGGTTGTGATGCCTTTAAAAGGTTTTGGAGAACATAATCTACACAATTGGAAGAGTCAGGTGAGTATTTTATGGTAGGCATTCTAGCTAGCACTTATCTTGAGGTGTCTTCTCAGTGCTTGCTAAAAAGGTGTGCATTTACCATTTCCTTATCCATATTTTTTATCAGAAAATGTAAAATTGAACTAAATTTACTTTATTAGTTGTTAGAATATGCCCCCCTGCCCCCCCTTTTTTTTTAATATTGCTCTGCCAGAATTGATTATTTTAAAATGTTCATGTTTGCAACAAGTAATTTACTGAAATATGTTTAATATCAATGGAGGCAGATCACATCTCTCTATGGTGGTCCTCTAGAGTTCCTTTTCTTGGTGGAAAGTACCGAGGACCCTGCTTACCATGCTGCATCTCGGTTAATAACAGATTTTAAGGTATAGCATAAATTTGCTTTATCATGCATTTTCTGTTATTACTAAGAAAAAAGAATCTGACAAAAGTCACATAGCACTGTTATTGCTGTGTAATCCTTTATTCCCTTTCACTGAAAACCCCTAAAAGACTCAATTCTTGCCCTTTGTTTTATGTAAGTGTTTGAGGGCATCATTTGAGCATCTTCACTGCGGCTTCACTTCTTGCCTTCCTGATTTCATTGCATGTTCTTCTGTGCAGGATGATGTTGATGCTAAAATCATTGTGGCTGGTTTATCAACAACCTGCAGTCAGAAAATACATAATCAGCTGGTATGTAACTTGCTAAACAGATTTTGCTAATTACTTGGCCTTGTATATAAGTTACTTTTCTATTTATATTATTGTTTAGACTACATGCCTTGTCACTCTCACTTGTACTTAGTGAAGACTTAATTTAAAGCCTTGGCTAAAGATGTCCTCTTTTGCTAATCTGCAATTATTTAAAGTTTGTCCCTATATGTTGTTAAAATCTCTCTGCTATTCAATATAGTTCTTAATCATATATATTTTGATATTTCTTGTGAAGGTTGGCGTGGAGAAAATGCATAAAGATACCAAGTATGTATTATTTTTGGACGATGATGTTAGGCTCCACCCAGGATCAATTGGAGCCCTCACTTCTGAGATGGAAAAGAATCCCAAGGCATGTTTGTGCGCGTCCAAATACCTTCAATCAAAACAATTAGATTTTTCTGAACCTTCACATGTGTGCCTGTTATGGTGCATAGAGTATAAACTTTTGATTCTTTTTGTGGTACTCATGTCGTTGGCAATGATGTGCAGATATTTATTCAAACTGGATACCCTCTTGATTTACCATCTGGAAGTTTAGGAAGTTACTGCATCTATGAATACCATATGGTATGATGCCATCTATGATTTATTCTTTCTTTCCAAGATACTGCATATACCTGACCTGACCTTACCTTATCTTTTCTTTTTTTTTTTTTGATAACTAGATTCGTATTTATCGCAGAGAGTAGTGGAAAACCTGCTATCAAAACAACAGTACAACCAGAAAAAAAAAATTAGTGACTACCCCTATATCTATATCTATGGTTCAATTATTAAATATGATTAATGGGGGAGTCAGGCAATCTAATATCTCATTTGTAGATGGCTTACTGTTTCATTCATGTCCTACTGCCCAATCTACCAGCATACACGTGCATATAAGTTGCAACTTTTGATTACTACACAAGCATAATGCTAGCTGAACAACCTTGGGCCCCTCCCAAAAGATTAAACATACGCTTCTGCAGGCAAGCACTTCTTATTGAAATATCAAAGTGGCAACTAGGTGGAAAATATCAGCTCTTATGTGTTAACTTATTCCATGGTCCAAAGTTCAAACAAGAATAGAGCACTATAGATGGTCAGTTTGGTGCTTAGGGGGATTACCTTATCTCTATCTATTATTTTATTTGAATTTGGCCAAAGGAGTGAAGCCAAATAGTTAAAATTAAGGATTCCACCTCCCCCCTTCTTAATGTAGTTCACAAGGACAAAAACTTTTGCTTTTATGTGTAACTGTGCTTTAGTGGTTTATCACATGTGTTATTTTAATCTTTCTCCAATAAGTTGTTTTTTTTATCCTTCAGTTCATGTACTCATTGAATATTTCTTTTCTACAGCCTTGCTCAATGGGATTTGCTACTGGTGGGAAAACTTTTTTTCTTTGGGGAGGGTGTATGATGGCAAGTAGCTCCTCCTATCTTTCTCAGTGCTTCCTGCACAAAATTGTAGGATTATTTCTGACTTTTGTAGATTGTTTTTCAGATGCATGCTGATGATTTTAGACATGACCATTATGGTGTAGTCTCGGGACTTCGAGATGGTGGATACTCCGATGATATGACTCTAGCTGCTATAGCTGGTAATCTAGTCTCTAGTAAATTTTTTAGTAGACTAATAAGAAATTCAATATTTCTGTTGATATTAAAATTACAGCTTTGTACACAGACTTGCAACCTTTTAACTGCTCGTATATTATCTCTTCTTAGGAGCCCACAAGAGGCTTATTACATCTCCTCCTGTAGCTGTCTTTCCTCATCCTCTTGCCAGTGATCTTAGTTTCTCAAGGTTAATGATTTTTACCCATTAAGCTTTTCTATTATATTTATATCCATGTTGACTTTGACTTCTTGTCCAGGTACTGGAATTACTTGAGGAAGCAAACATTTGTTTTGGAATCATACATAAGCAATGTTAATTGGCTAATGAATAAAGCACTGTTTTCTTCCCATTGCTATCTTTCATGGGGATTTGTTGCGCCATACTTGATGGCTATGGTTCACGTTGCAGCAGCACTACAAATCTATATCAAGGGTTATTCATATGAGGAAACAACCTGTTCTACTGGTGGTGAGCAAACTATCTTTCCTTTTAGTTAGGTTGTAGCATTAATTAATTCAGACGAAACACATCTGGGGTCCTATTCTGGATAATAACACCATTCTATTTGGTATTTTTGAGTAACAGGAGTTTACAGGAGTTTTTTTTCTCGATCAAATAGTGCTGAGTTATTCAGATAATTTACAAGATCCCCTTAACCCTCAACATATTTGGTTTTTAGTAATTTAGACATACTTGTCTATCAAAGGAACTGTTTGACTTTCCACAGCTAGAAATGCTGGCCGTAGCCCTTTTCACATAGTAGAAAATTCTTTTTCTGTTGTATTTATCGGTTGTAATTCCTCTGGTAAAGTATTGAATCTAATAAAATGGAAGGTAGAGAAATATCCTATTATATTAATGTAGGAATTAGCTCCTGCAACTAAGCAAACTGCTTTTGCACAGGATTGGTACTAGCCAGTTGCCTAGCTATATGTACCTTTATGGAGCTACTTTCTATGTGGAACTTAACAAGGATTGAAGTTCAACTATGCAACATGTTATCTCCTGAGGCACCTAAGCTCTCACTTGGTACTTACAACTGGAGCATGGTAAGAACCTCTATCTATTTAATATTTGGGATAGCACTGTGCTTTACTAATTCTGTTGCTTCCATGAAACTTAAGTGCTTATCTTGAATCTCTAGATTTTCATTCTGTATATTGCTCATTAATTATACGTATAATGTTTAGAGTGATGAAGAAAAATTCTTGCCTTTTTTATCCGTTTCAATGCCTCATCTAGAATCTCCTTCAGAGTATAGTAAATTAGTGTAATCAACTGCATGGCTTTGGTTGGATTCAGAAGGCCTGAATTTTGATTGAAGCGTGGTCATTATTTGAGTTAGAGCTTGGATATCACAAACACTTTCGAGTATGTACTGATGTAAATCAAATTGTTCTGTAACTGAGAGCAGGTCTTTGTTGCAATGCTGGTTGATAACTTTTTATACCCTGTCTCTGCCTTCCGTTCTCATTTCTCTCAATCTATCAATTGGTCTGGTATACGATATCACTTGAAGAATGGAAAGATAAGCAAGGTATGTCAGTTAAGCATGGCACTTAAGCATTCACAATGAGCTTTGTTTATTTGTTCAAAGCTTAGCAGTATTTGCCTACTCTGCAGGTTGAAAGGAATAAGGATATGGGTCCAAATTTCACAGACTTGGGAGGGAAGCATTTATATGGGAAGAAAGGAGCTCCTCCCAAAGCCTCATTCCTCAGCTCTTTCAAGAGAAGTTTGGCTCAGTGGCGTCAACCGAAGAAATTTGATGTCTAGGAATTAAGCTTTGGCTTAGTAAATGTTGTGACCATTTTTGCCTCTCCTCTCTGAGATTGTATAGGCAGCAAGGATCCGGTAGTCTATTGTTAGTGGTTTAGGAATTTTTGCGTCATTTTTTATTCCCCATTCAATCGATTTATTCTTCATTTATCAACCCTCGTCGGGGGCTGGTTTTGAAATTACATTGATTTCACCCTGTAATTTTATAAATCCTTATTATATACAGTAGCGTTCGTGACTTACAGTTCTCTCGAATCCGACTCTGTCGAGAGGCCATTCTGCTTAACTCTGGAATGGAACAGATCATAAGAGCATTGAAGAAGTTACAGATTAATTAGTAGATGGAGAAAACAAAAAAAACCAAAAAAGTTAAAGCACAAGAGATAAATTACTGCCAAGTATTTCTCCTACAAAGCCACTAAAAGTGCACAGCACGTAGCAATGTTGGACTTGTAAAGCTAACAGAAGGATATTCTCCAAAGTGTTTCCTTTTTCCTTTCCGATGGTGGGCAGTTGCTTATCATTTTACTTCTGAAGATCTCCAATGTAGAAGTCATCAATCATGTCAAATACTCGGGTCGCATGCTGTGGCCTATCACTGACGATAAAAAGCGCCAACTAAGCTTTGGATTTATAAAAGCTAATCCTAATTATGTTAAGCATGACAAGTTTGCACTGGAGTACAATAGAGACGGAATTCAATAAGAGTATGGTACTAATTTTTTAAGCGGCAAGGGTTTTATTGTCTAGTACGTTTTTCTCGGATTGGTTCAAGTAGAGTTATTTATGTTCAGCTTTGTAGCGGATTCAAATTCAGAGAGGAGTGCATCTTTTTTTTTTTTTTTTTCATTTGAGTCAGCCATCTGGTTGGTATAAGAATATACTATTTATAACATGCTTTGGCTGCTGAAAAATACATGGATTTATCCTCATTACCTGTTTTACATATCAAATCCTATCTTGACATATATAAGAGACAAACCCAAGTAGAAGAAGAGACGCTAACTAACTCCAGAGGAGATAGAACTGAAAGAGGCAACATGAAATTTTCAAAATTTGCAGAGTGTTTCCAAATAAGGAACAAATGCATACCGATAAAACCCTTTAATTGAATCATCTCCGGCAAGCCAAGATGGCATCACCACCTGGGTGTTCCTCTACATATGAGGTAACATCATAAACCTGCAGCTGTTAAATAGTAAGAAACGAACAGCAGAACCGAGATATCTTAGGATTGAATGGAGTTGCGAGTTCCAAAAACAGCAACAATCCAAAGTCACCAATCACCCTGTCCTTAATGATGATCCACCAATCAGTCTTCTTATCATGTTGAGCGACTTCTGCCTTACCGTAGCATATGGATACCTAACAGAACAGAAATTTGAACTCTGAAAAACTGCAAAAACGCGAGCAATTTATTTCGAAGTTGCCAAGGTTCATATCGAGTACCTTAGAATTGTTACCATATGATTGAACCTGGTTGGTATGAGCTGCATTGAACAAACTTTCACTAATCAAACATAATCTGCATAACAATTTTTAATTCATATTTCATCAGCTTGTAACATTAAAACAATGATAATAAAATAGAAAAACACAATAAATTAAAGATGACCTGATTTAGAATGCCAGGGTATCAAAAAAAAAAAAAAAGGTTCCAAGTAATACACCCAAAACCAATGCTATCACAGCTATTGCCATATCTCACAATTCAGCTTCTTTTTACTGATCAACCCAGTTTAACCCAGCAACGATTTTAAAGAAAAGAAGAAATATGAGATAATCCCAGATGTAAACTAATTTTAAAAGCTTCAAACAATGAGAGAAATGCATGGGTTTATGCGAAGCTAGAAACGAATAAACATCTAAGACGATTTGAGAGAGTAAAAGCTAAAGGTTTTCACCTGGGAAACGGATTCGACTTTGCTGCCTTCAATTTCTGTTTACTTAAATCGATTTACACGTTTAAAATTTTTGAACCCACAATTTCTAAACTAATTACACTCAACCGACAGCAATTACTTCAGTTCTTAATTATTTAATTGCTGTCGGTCCCATGCTAAACCTACCATAACGGCGCTCTTATTATTAGTAGTTTGAAATAAATAAGAAATCAAGATGGTTTTGAGACGCCTAAAACATATATTTTTTAAAATTTATATGGTTTTACAATACGCAAAATTAGTGAAAATAAATTTAACAAGACATTCTTTTTTACTTATAGTAAACAAATACTACTACAGCTTTCTAAAGAATAAAATAAATTCTCTAAATTAAAATTTTTGACCAATTGATGTTGATATATTGACAAATCAACAGAGAGTGAACCTTTTTGAGATGTTCAAAATTTTCCCTCAAATTAATAAAATTTAATAATTGTGTAATTTATATTTATTTATTTTATATCGAATATATAAAATATAATTTTTATTAACACATCAACCGAAATATATTTTTTATTTAATTTATATATAATTTTTATTAAATATTTAAATTACATTATTTTTATTTGTTTTTTATTATTTTTTATCATATCCTTGATTTATGTTTAAGGTTACTAGTTTAAATCCAGACCTTTATATAAAGTAGCAGACAAAGAGGTCCCGAAGCATTTCCAATTACTTTGCAGTCTTCCAACTTATCTTTTAAAAGAACCTTTTCCAAAACAACAGTAAAATCCCCATCCTTGTCTTTTCCTTCTCCTTTTCTTATTTTGCTATTGCCATGGCCAGCGGATCAGCAAAATTCCATGTTGTCGTTTCAGGCAATAATTCTGTAATTCCTTTCACCCAACAATTCGACCTCGACGAAGCAATAACGATGCCGGAGAACCCTCAATCCAGGCAACAAGAAGTCACCCGTTTGGTTTCGGACATGCCGACGGTTAGTTATGCAACTGGTAGTTGCTCAGTTTGCATGGAAAGTTTCTGGCAATCCGAGGAAGCTGCTAGACAAGTTCCCTGTGGCCATGTCTATCACCATAATTGTATTACCGATTGGCTCTTGAATGGAGACAGCAATTCTTGCCCTCTCTGCCGCCATGAAATCTCCGGCTGATGATGATGTAGCCATAATTGTTATAGCCACAACCCATAAACATATTTAGCTATAGCTTCTCGATTTCAGTATGTTAGCTCCCCATTTTAAATTTTTTTTTTTTTTACAATTATGTTGGCGAAATTAATATAAAAATATTTCAATACTTATTATTCTTTTGTTTTCTATAAAATATAGTATCAACTTATATTTATTTATAATTACCACTTGATCTAAACTGTTTGTTTATGCATAACCATGCCTTTTATCAGATTTGTGATCGAGCTTATCTTTAGCTACAATTAATCACTACATTTTAAAATGGATTAGGAATCCAAAAATACTATTTGTTCAATAGTTTGGACCACTTAAGTCAGTTATCTATGGCCTAATTATATTAAATTCAGTTGTGTATTTATTAAATTTATATATATATATATATTACATTTATCCGTTTTATTAAATCAACAACTGAAAAATAATTTATGTCATATGTTAAATATAAAATATATATTTTTATTTATATCAAACTCATATAATTTTTGTTAAAACTTTTAAATGTATTATTTTTTATATTACTTTTTTATTTATTATTATACCATATTTAAAATTATTAGATCTATTACTAATAGGATATCAAACAAGTTGTAATATGAAATCTTGAAATTTTGAAAAGATTTTACGAAGTCGTTATCTTCTTAATTGCAAAATTTGAATGTCAATTTCATCGTTATCAAAAAGAAAATTTTTGATGATAGTTGCGTAATTTATAAATAAAATAATAAAATTTTAATTTTAATAATTTATTTTAAATTTAATATATATAAAATATAAAAATTATTATATCACAATTTTTATCATACATTAAATACAAAATATATATTTTTATTTTTATCAAACTCATATAACTTTTATTAAAACTTTTAAATGTAGTATTTTTTATATTACTTTTTTATTTATTATTATATTATATTTAAAATTATCATATTTATTAATAGAATGTCAAACAAGTTGTAATATGGAATCTTGAAATTTTGAAAAGGTTTTATGAAGTCGTTACCTTCTTAATTGCAAACTTTAAATGTCAATTTCATCGTTATCAAAAAAAAAAAAATTTGATGATAATTGTGTAATTTATTAATAAAAATAATAATTTTAATTTTAACAATTTTAAATATAAAAAATATTATAAAAACTCTTCATCAGCTTCAATAATATTGTATGTATACCATACAATGTTTTAGTATTTAGAATTTGAGATAATTAAACAAAGTTTACTTTATCATTTTTTTATTATTTTTATTTTTATTTTTATCATTTATCTAATAAACAAGCGTCTTATTCTAGACAAAACTATAGCTTTCAAAGGCAAAAGAAAATTGGCTATAAGAGATAAAATTTTCTAGCGTGAGGAGAAAAAGGGCGTAGCCGATGTATATACAACAAAAAATCACTTATGTAATAAAGAGTGGACTAACTGCTCCCTTTCAATCCATTCAGCATCACTTTCAGACTTTATTCTTTTTTTGTTGGTTTTCTGCAACGACTTGAGCAACGGCGGAATTTGTAGGTTTTTAATTAATTAGAATCCGTCGCAATAAAAAATTCCATATCTTTCAGTAACTTTTCCCCCATGAACAACGACGATCATTAGCTCAAGAAAAATGTTATTCCCTTATATCATAAATTTTTTTAGTCCATTAAATTAATTATTTTCTCTCCTTAATTGTTTTGCATGTTTTTCTTTTAATTTGTCCAAAAATATTGCTGCTTTGCTACCTTGAAAACAGAGTGAATTATATATATAAACTCTATATATAATGCTCAATCGAGGAAAATTTTTTATACACTATTAATTAAAATTTAAAATTATCATGCATAATTTTTTTAATAGATTTTAAAAGAATACATGATAATATCCCTCTAACTCCTTTAATAAAATTTAAAAGTTTTACCACTCCGATGTTCTTTTTTTCTGAATTAATTTTAATCTTCAAAATAATAAAACATAATAAACCCGATCGAATTTTATATCAATGAACAAATAAAATTAAATTCAAATGTCACTTTTAACATTCTTTTTTACCTTTTGACTGAAGAAAAAAACAATTTAAGGGTTGATAAAAATAATTAACAAATCAACATCTGACCCATAATTTAAGTTAGTCCTTAAGCGCTTGCCGGATCGTCAGCATAGGAATTGGGTGCCTCCTCACCCAAATAAACGTGCTTGACTGTTTGCAATGAGATAGAGTGACAGACGAGTCCCTAATTTGCCGTCTTCGGCAAGCACCCCTACACTATATACATGTCTGGAAAAGTATTAAAAAGATATAGTAAAAGAGAATAAAGAAATTAAAGGAGAGTTAATTTATTTTTTTTATCTTTATCAAAATTTGAATTTTGACTAGTCAAATTAAAAATTTAATATTTTATTAATAATCATGTTAGCATAATTAATTTAGTTTGTTTGTGTTAACCTTCACTTTAAATTTTGGTCATGAAATCTTTGGATTTTGATTAATTTCAGAAAATAATTTTTTTATAAAAAAAATTAAAAATAAATAAGTTATTCAAATCTTAACTTAAGATAAAAAGAATCGATATTTCACAAAAATTGCATACATTGAAAATTAACACTAATTAAACATTGCTAGTAAAATTAATTGGTCCTAAAGACCACTTAAACAAATTTTCCATTGAACCAACTCCTTAAATGTTAACAGTAGTATAACATTACAGATTAGCAAGTCCAAACTGTAAGAAAATTTGTATTCTATGTAGATATTCATTTTGGCCAAAAGAAAAAAAATTTGTAGATATTCATGACGTACGGCGCCGTTCGACCTTTCTACTCCCCTTTTGGCCTTTTGTTCGTCTCCTTTTTCTTTATTTTTCTGCCCATATCACTCTCACCTTGCCAGGCTGCGGTCTAATGTATAGAAAGTTGATTATTCATATGTTTAGATTATATAAACTACTAAAAAATATATATTAATATTTATTTTATATAAAAATTATATATTATAATTTATATTGTATAAAAATTTAAAATATATTTTTATATTTTATTAAATATATATTTAATTATTATTAAAATTTTAAATTATATTATTTTATATTATGTTATATGATGTTCTAGATTATCGATTCATCTAACCTCCATTTACTCGTCTCCATCGTGATTTGGCCCTTTTTCTTTAGTTTTAATTTGCACCGTATGTCTACTTTAGTTGACGAGATTGGTTTGAAGATTCCATCAAAACAAAGAGAAAAACCAGCGCTTATCAAAGAAAAAACGATTTATGGATTGGAGCACGATGAATTATCATTAGTCATGTCATCCAATTTCGAATGTCCTTTTTCCTTTACCATAAAAAAAAAAGTTTTTTTTTTAATGATTTTGGATTACGAGAGGACTCATTTCTCATACTAATAAATTTTATCCCTACAGTCCCAAATTTTGAACTCGGGAAGGGTTTCAATGAAATTTTCTTTTAAATGATTGATGATAGAAGTATAACCTAAAAATAGAATAAAAACTATATGAAAATTATTTTCCTTTGTTAATTTTTATTTTTTTGATATAAAAAAATAAATATATTAAATATTATTTGTTAAAAACATTAAATGAATATGTTAAAATAAAGTTTAAACTCTTTTAATATTTTTTGTTATTATAAATAAATCTAGCATCGAATTCACGTTTCATCATATTATTATATGTATGAAGATTATATAAGTAATTATATATTAACTTATAAAATAACTAAATTTGTATAATGAAAAATAATTATTTACTTACTCTCTAGTCTCTAAAACTCAAACATATACTCCATATAGCATCACTTCGACTAAACGTACAGCCATTTTTTTTTTCTATCTAAACTACACGAAACTCTTGGCCAAATTAACCAGAGTCATGGCTTAATTATGTCACTGCCATGCCAACCTATGGATTTTAGGACCACTTTATTGATATGTTCTTTAATTTCCACAAAGAGGGCTTAGAACTTTTGATGGTGAAACATAGAAAATTAGTAAAACAAAACATAAAGGCGGACCTGCCCTCACAAGATAGAAAATTAATGTTTTTTTGTTTGACTTTAAGAATATTGTAGACTTTTGCTAGAAGCCATCAATGCCAGTTGCTTAAAGTGTAATAAGATTAAAATTAATGTTTTTGTGTTTGACTTTGAGAATGTTGTAGACTTTTGCTAGAAGCCATCAATGCCAGTTGCTTAAAGTGTAATAAGATTAATCCATTAAGCATATATATATATATATATGCATTTATTTTCCTTGACAAATACAATTTTGGAATTGAAGAGAGTAAAATACCCATGTTTTTTTTTTTTTTCTTTCTCTCTTTTCATTACTATATTTTGTCATTGTTCTGCCGGTAAAATTTTTTGTCTTATATGATTTTAGAGCTTAAAATATGAATTTTTTTTTTTTATCTTTTATTTTCAGGATTTGGGTATTGCTTAAGTTTTCACTATGATGGTTTGAAGGAAATTAATTCTTTTTTTCTGTGGTGCTATGGGAGAAATTTACATATTGAATAAGCAAAAGGTTGTTCAGTTTTACATATAAAAAAAAAAAAAGAAAAGAGGTTGTTCAATTTTATGTAACCTGCTACAAGGGGAGGGAAGCAATCTGCTATGAAACAGGAGCAAATGAGAAAATACAGCTATTTGCTCCAGCACACTTGATTTATCGACATTAAGCAAACTTAATTAAAAAGAACAGTAATGTCTTTTAATTATTTGCCTTTTTTTTTTCTTTATTTATTCACGAGTTTTCTTTTATATATATATAAGAAGGATTGTAATTTTGCGATAAAAAAAATTATAAATATTAATATTTGAATGTTACATATTGGATGTCATATTTTAAATTTAAAAGTATGAGCCAATTAAATTAAATGTTGCATTCATTTATGAGTTTTTGTCATCCATTTAAATGTGCTATGTATAGATAGAGAGAAGTGATTAATAAATCAAACATTAGCTCACCATTTGAGATTTAATTTTCTTTGAATGAAAATGAAATGAACAAACATGACAAAATTACCACCATAGATTTTTAATGGTTTTTTTTTTTTTTTAAGAGTAAAGACTTTTAAATATGATATTGAAATTAAAAAGATCAAAATTAATAGCAATAATAATTTTAGTGGTTAAAATTAATCTTTTGTTATTTCCACTGTAAATTGCATCATGAATCTAACACCAAATCTTGTTGATTTTAACCTATTTTTGTTATAAAACAAAAAGCTTGTATTTCCTTCTTTCCTATTCTCTCCTTCCCAAGTTTTAATAAAGAGAGGTAAGAGAAGTATTAATATACCAATTTAGCGACAAATATCTTATTAAAATTTTAAAATTATCAGAATAAAATTTTTTTTTAAATATTTAATTTATGAATTCTTAAATTTTGAAAAGAAAAAAAATTTTTGCTCGATTCATTTTATTTATTAGATCTCAAATAAAGTTAATTTATATGTTTGTTTCAAGGTAAGTTGATTAAGGAATGTAAAAGTATCTATTGATATCTTGTACAATAATTCTCTTAATTATTAATTAATGTCATATCACAAACAATTATAGTTAAATTATTTATTTAACATATTAAATATTTATTTATTTTTGTAATAAAAAATTTATTTATTTATTTAACATGTAAAAATAACTTTATTTTGTTATATAAATTTTTTTTTGTAAAATTAATAAATAACAAAAATAACATTTCCTTTATAATTTTAAAAGATTAAAAAATATAATATAGTCTGAAAAATGCAATATAAACAATAAAAATTTTGACTTTTCAATTTAAAAGTCTGGTTTTTCAATCCAAACTAAAATGTTATTCGATAAGTGCTTTTTAGGGTGAAAAAGTACATTTGGGATAAAAAATTATTTTATTATGTCTATATTTATAATATTTTATCGTGTTATACATATATTTTTAAATATTTCAATTACAACACTTTTTCATAATAATACCCAACACTTAAAATTTTTAATTACACTTTTCTTATTATACTTTTTAAACACATGTTTTTTAACTCCAACTTTTTTCAATCACATCAGTAATATTAAACTAACCCTTACACTATATTTGGACAAGTATTAGTAAAAGAAAAAAAAAATTTTTTTTAAAGGAAAGAAAATAATACATATACCTCTTATTTGAATAGCTAAAATTAATAAAGATTGTAAAAAAAATAAATCCTAACAACTATTATTTGATTAAAGAGTGACAATAAAATTATTCTTTATAAAATTTTCTAATTTTACCTTAAATTGTTCTGTTTACTATGTGAATAATTTAGAAATTTTTTGTTTCAAATAAAAAAAATTCAATAAAAGATATTAATTTTATTAATCTATAAAATAATATAGGTTGAAAATTATTTTTATATAATTAATTATAAACGTATAGTAATAATTTTTTATAAATTTAATAAGCTCCATTAATATAAATATAATTTTTTCAATTGTCCGTATTTTTTTCAAGTACATATTTCTTTTCTTTTTATTTTTTCTCAAATATATAAAATAATAATAAAATATAAAAATTTTATAAGACCCAACATTAAATAAAAATAATTGATATGATAAATTATTTTTTATGAATAATGGCAAGTTACCTAAACCAATAATAACTTAAAAATTTATTTTCATATAAAATTAAGAAAATATGCCAAAAAGGAATAAAAGTATAAAAATATACATACAAAAATCTATAAAAAGAAAATTGAAGACAATAATAGAAGAAATTAAAGAAAATAAGAAAGCAAAATAAATAAGGATAAGGGTTTGAGTTTAATAAAAATAAATAAATATTACTACTTGTTAAGCTTGCAATGTATTTTTGAAAATAACAAAATAGAGTGTAAATATTATTTTATATTTAAAAAATTTAGTCCTTTTTTTGTTTGGCCTGTTTGTTTTTATTAAAAAAAATAAATATTAACATATCTTATCAAACTTGCAATATATTTTTAAAAATTAAAAAATAATAAAAGGTATAATATTATTTTATATTTAAAAATTTGTACTTTTTTCTTTTCTTTAATTATTTTTTGGGATAATTAAAAAATAAAGCTTTTAAAGGGAAAGTAAGCTATGCTCAACCTGTTTCCTTTTTTTTTATTTTTTTTATTTTAATTTTAAAAAACTATTTTTTTGCCCTTTAGTTTCCTTTCTTTTCCTTCGCCTCTCCTTAATTTAGAGATAATCCAATTAGGGTTGGCTTACATGGAAATGCCGAAAAACAAGTGAGGGTACCAAGACACGGAAGAAGGCTGCGCCAAGAGAAAAAGAGCGAAGAAAAATGGAGAATCAGAAGCAAAATAGAGCCGAAGCTCCTGTGAAAGTGTCAACACTCAATTGTATCGATCTCTCTAATCCTGATATTCACCAATCCGTCTCTTTACTCAAGCAGGTTTTTGTTCCCTTTTTTTTTTTTGGTTCTTTTGTCCTTCTATGTTTTCGTTGTAAGTGTCATATGAATTTACTGTCTTTTTATTCTTTTGATGTTTTGAAGTTGATATTTTGATGTCTTATTGACAACCCCAGAATTAAAGATTGGATTTTTTGTGGGTTTAGGCTTGTTTGGATTGTGGGTTTTTCTATGTGGTCAACCATGGAATAAGCCAGGAATTGATGGATGAAGTATTTGCCCAAAGCAAGAACTTTTTTCATTTGCCATTAAATGAGAAAATGAAAGTTTTGAGGAATGAAAAACATAGAGGCTATACTCCCGTGCATGATGAGCTTCTTGACCCTGATAATCAAGTGCATGGTCAGCAACTCTTTCCTTTTAGTGGTTTTATCTTTTTGGACTGCATTATCTCCTTTACTTTCATATTGATCATTGGTGAAAGAGTTTGTGGAACTGAAGTAGGAATCTTTATTTTTCTGGTGGGGTTGTAGGAGACTACAAAGAAGGGTATTACATAGGTGTGGAAGTACCTGAAGATGATCCTGAAGCTGAGAAGCCGTTATGCGGGCCAAATGTTTGGCCCGCAGATGGTAAAATATATTGGATTTCATTGATTGGTTATATTGCAAGACCCGTTTGAAAGGATATTTCAACATTTTTTTTTTTTAAACTTATGGCTCTGGTTAGGTGTTTTGCCTGGATGGAGGCAGACTATGGAGAAATTCCATCATGAGGCATTGTAAGTTATAAGCTAGTATGTGATAATTTATCTATGCGTGTTTTATGATAATGTGTGCACAGAAAATATACTGATAATATTTTATTTTTCTTCTTCATTAGAGAGGTGGGAAAAGTAGTTGCAAGGGTCATAGCGCTTGCACTTGACCTAGAGGTTGATTTCTTTGATAAGGCTGAGATTCTTGGGAAGCCTTTTGCCATCCTGCGCTTACTATACTATGGAGGTGGATGATCATGGAATGCCATTATCTAATCTTGGTGTCAATTCACAGTTTATATAAGTCATTTTATGAATTTCCTTCAGGTCAAATTTCTGATCCCTCAAAAGGAATATATGGGGCTGGAGCACATTCTGACTTTGGATTTATTACACTCTTGGCAACAGATGATGTTATGGGTCTGCAAGTATGAACATTGCTGCATCATGTAATTACATTACCATTATTCTGCACATTAGACTTGTTAACCAATGTTTATATGATTTTTTGCAGATATGCAAGGATAAAGATGCAAAACCTCAGATATGGGAGTATGTGGCACCAATAAAAGGGTAAGTCACTGATGGCTAGCTGAGGTTCGAGCTTTTAGGTTACATTTTAGACATGCTCGCACATAGTAAATAAGCAGTTTACTGCCTTGGTACTGGAGGCTGCTTTTGGACCCAATATCAGCTTTTAATTGATTGATTTCCAGTTATTTGCTGCACCTAGGTTGCTATCATCATATTTTTTTTGTTTTCTTCTTAAATTTCTATTGTTGCATTGTTCTGTTCATCATTTACTTTGTTCTTGCTTTCCATGTACTAGGTTTAATCTAATCACTAATAATTGTAGCACATGACATGCTTAAAATGTGGTTTATCTTCTTACAGAGCTTTTATAGTCAATCTTGGGGATATGCTGGAGCGCTGGAGCAACTGTATATTCAAGTAATGTGCAATTTTCTATGGTATCTATGGTCCAAACTGCATTTTATTCAGATGATAGTCAAAGATAAATGTTGGATTTTAAGGGGCTCCCAATATTGTTGTCATTTACTGAAGACCTTTCGACTAATTCTGATTCTACATTTTGCCTTTTACTTTAAAGTTTAGCTGATTTATTATGTTGATAAATTTAAAAGAAAGAACTGTTCTCTAAGGCTGTCATCTCCGTTACTCTAGTGCAAATATAACTCCACTATTTCTCGGTTCTTTTGTATTGTTATATGTACACAAGGTCACTGGTTTTATTGTTTTGCAACATTCTTAAACTTATTCATCCTTTTTTCCAAAAAAAAAAAAAGATTACACTTTGAAATGAGACTGCTATATATCTGTTCATTAGTTTGTAATGCTATGACTTTCTTTCTTCTTTATGTAACCAAATATTTGCTTTTTGTTTGTACTCAGGTCCACTTTACACAGAGTTTTAGGGAATGGTCAAGAGAGATATTCTGTAAGGCCCCTTACCTTTTTAAACTGGTCTTTGTCCTCCAGGCTTTAAGGCCTTTCACAGCCTTTTAGATGATTCATGATTGAGCAGATGTTCTACGATGTCTTCATGTTATGATATCGGATTGCTCCAATATATTCATCCGGAAATTCTCTTTTTAACGTGTCATGCCTGACTTTAATGCTGGTTATATAGTTATTTCTTGATGTACTTGTTCTTTTTGTCCATGAGGGCAACCGTCTTTGGTAAATAGTTGCAAACAGGGTAAATTGGGCCTTCTAGAAGTTTGAAATAAACTATTTCTACCAACTCTTGTTACTTTATTGAGTTAACTCCATCTGATCTTTTCAGACCCTACTAAAATGGACTTAACAATTCTGTGATTGATGTATGTCATCAACATGGCTAAAATTCTTGGGAAACTTTGTGGATCCGAGCCATAATTTGATGGATGGAAGGATGCATTAGTTCTTCAAAAATTTAAAAAGCACTTTGGTTGACATGAAAAAAAGGGTTTTAACTGACATCTTCATCTTGGTATTTCTTATTGTTTGCCTTTATGGTTGAAATTTTTGGCTTAGTTCCTTTACTTTTTCATCAATATTGGATTTTCTTAGCAGATGTTGTGTTACTAACTTTTATCATAATCTTTTGAAGAAAATTAAGGTTTATGTCCCTGGTTTCTGATGGCAGATTGCATACTTTGTGGAACCTAGTCATGATTGTCTTGTCGAATGCCTGCCGACTTGCAAATCAGAAAAAAATCCTCCCAAGTATGTCTTAGTATCACATTGTTTTAATTACAGATAATAAGGACCGAATTCCATTGCGAAACGCTTGCCTTTTGAGACCCTAGTTGCAATGGCATCCATGAGGATTACCTTTAAATTATCAAATTTGTGTATCTGTTTTATCTGACATAATAACTCTAATTGAGCTGCTGCATGTATTGTGCTCTAACCAGGTTTCCTCCTATCGGATTCCGGACATACCTGAAGCAACGTTACGAGGACACTCATGCTAAGTTGAGTGCATACAATAAACATCTAACTTGAAGTCCTTACAGAATATTTGTGTAGGAAAGGTTGAGCTTGTAATTTTCATAAGACAGTGACATATCAATTTGAATGTGCCATATATCCAACATTAGAAAGTCCATTTTACTATCATGTATGTGTATTGCAATAATAGTGTTATCGTTCGTTCCTAATAAAGTTATTGCATGTTCCAAGATTCAACTGGAGCCTATTTTGCAATTTTCTCTTCAGTTGGGTTTTCATGTCAATAGGTATGGTATGTATGGGACGTATAGTATTCTTTATTTATTTTTGAATTTTTATATTATATCTATATTTGAATTTATATTTTAAATTTATCTCATTCTTGTGAGTATTTAACAATACAAGTAATTTTGTATCCATAGCTTTTTTTTTTAAATAAAAATAAAAATAAAAATATATTATTTAATATTTTTATTTTTATCTTACATATTTATGTAATTTTTATAATATACTAATATATACTTTTAAAATAAATATATATTAATTCTAATGAATCAAAATAATAATTTATATTATTTAATAAAAATTTTATTTATTAAATATATATGTAAGATACAAATATAAGATAAGTATTAAATTACCTATTTTCATTGTCATACCTGATAAATTTATAATTATATCGACTTTTATTCTTATAATATAATACTTATTTTTATTCTTTTTCTAATGAAAAATCAAACCTTTTACGTAAGAATGAGATCCTATTTTCATGACATGAAAAGATTATAATCATTAATCACAAAACAAAATTTCCTGTCAGTTGTCCCTAAATCCTCACAGCTTTTTGCAACCTTTATAGGATTTTTTTTTCATTTTTAAATATATTATAAACAAAAAGAAATGGAATACTATTAAAAATAAATTTAATATTTATTATTATAAATATGTACATAAATAATATATAATAGAAAGATAAAATCTATTGAAATATTCTTATATGAAATAAAAATCACTTTATTAATATTCATACAAGCAATTTTTTTACTACACTTCCATTTCTACTTTTTACCTTTAAAGATCAATAAAAAAGTAGTTGCTAACAACCACTTAGAGGAATCGAAATTCACTTTGCGATAACTTTCCAAAGATATTTTTTAAAAATAGATTTGAATTTTTTTTTCTTTTCTTTTTTTTCTTTTAATTGTGAATAACTTTTTCTTTCTACCCACTAGTACATTATTTAAAAACCTATGACCAGCCACATACTTAAAAGAGATTGTTTGATGTACAAATAAGATAATAATTAACGACATTAATATTACTTAGTTTTACATACATGTTTCTTTTCAAGAACATTCATTTTTATGATGTCGAGAACAAGTCAGAAGTACCAGTTCGAAAGTTTCCAATCACCTGTATAGAAAAGAATATTTTCATCCACATGAGAATGACTTTGGATCCATGACTTGGTGCTTCTCATTCCCCGTTTCAAAAATGAATTTTGAATTCATGTCAAAATGGTATATCGAGACTCCACAGTTAGCAGCCGCTTGATGCATCCGAAATTTCATAACTGCATCGAAATCTAGTTTTGCTAGTCGTTCCAATCGCAGATTAACATTTTCCGAGAATATTTGTATATCCTGAATGGCAATGACTGGTTTCCTTTGTACGCATCTTCTACAGTTTCATAAGTTTCGGTGTGTTCTTCGATCATTCCATTTATACCTGCAGAAGAAAACTGAATATACAACCTTGCAGATATTAAATCACACATTTGGAATATTCTCTGTCGCAGCTAGCTTCTGACCTTGGGCATTTTGCCCAATTATGGTAAGTTAGGGTTGGCAAGACCCATAGATTGTGCAAGTTCCCTAGCAGCTAAATTGTCCGCTTGTTCCTACACACCACATTTAACACAATGATTAGTGATGTATGATACGGCATCCTTGGTCTAAAGATGAATATCAACAAATAGTAATTTTTCTCATTTTGTTGGTGGATCCCTACAATCAACCATTCATACCTGAAGGCGATGCAACAAGTACATCAAGAAGAAATGTACAAACACCTGCATATTTTTTCCACACGGTTATCATAGAATGTAATCCTTCTATAACACATTCCCACAAAGACAAGATCAAACTGTTCTTACAAGATAGCATAGCAAGATTATTCGAGCTGTTGGATATCGCCAAAGAAATCTTGTGGCCCTGACAGCCCCTGAATCCAGTAATTTTGCGGCCTTCTGTAACTGCATGAGGCAGTTTATGCATGAGGGAGGTTGAAACACAAGTCAGAATAAACAAATGGGATGGTAAGTTGGCTTTGGGATATAAGAGTGGGAATACTTGTATGCTTGCGGCAGCCATGTGACGTTGATGCAAGGGAAGAGGCCTGCAATTATTAACTTGATAAGGAAATTTTGAAAATATCAAAACTAACCACATAGAAAATTAAGAGGAAGCGAAATATTCATGCAAGAGAGCCAATGAGAATATAGGTTGGACAGGTTGTAACATCTCTTTCCATTGTTGTTTCACATTAATTTATTTACTTCTAGGGAGAAAGGATAGGTTGAGGGAAAGCCAAAAAGAATAACTCAATCACAAGAGTCAAAGCCTGAGTACTGCATCAAGAGTGTTATTCTGATTTAATGGCATTACAACCCAAGAAGCAATGCAAGAACAATGGCACAGGTATCAACAAAAAATAAGCCCATAGAGTTAATAAATGGATGATTCAGCCCCACAAACTACAGACTCACAAAGAATTTTACATTTTTTTTCCTTTTCTTTTCTCTTTTACTTTTTCTACCTTAATACAAAAGAATAAGAATTTAGATGTTCTAACCGATACAACAGCTACATAATTGCACTTTTCTCTCATTGTGTTAAAGGTTGCACCCATGATGCTTTCCTTACAAGAAATGTTAGATGCTACAGGAATGTAAATGTTTCAGGCTACAAACACAGTGCTTCATTCCAAACATGCTGCTGACATCTGCTAAAGTATTTCGTTCTTTTATCCGAAGGAGAGATGTATGTAAATAATTGTACCAGCAAATCTAATTAAGCCACAACAACTTAACACTCGCAACGGTAGATGGTTCTGCAGAACATATAAGTTATGATAGATCCAAATTCAATCAAATACAACCAAATTTCACAAATCACATATTTCCTAAAAGGAAAATCAGAACTTAAAGAGAAGGTAATATATATTCTTACAAGCTAATAAAGGCCACATATCTCAATATTCTCAATAAGATGGTAAAACTTGCAGAGAAAGGATGTGAGGACTCCAATTTAATAAAATGAAAAAGCTTAACGTACTCTAGTGCTTTGATTTCAGTGTCTTCCTCCCAGGAAGATGATGCCCGTTGAGGAACTCTACTTCTTTCTGCTTCAACCTGTTGATTATAATAGTACATCACAGGCAAAACAAGGATATTGAATACCATTAGTTATAACCAAAAATAGATAATCAGCCTTGCAGCATAGAAATCAATAAACCTGTGCTTCTCGAAGACGCTTTATTTCCTTCTCCAACTGAAACTCAGCTGCAGCTTTTTCACTAGCCACAGTTTCTAACTGTGTTTGCTTGTAGTACTGCATAATGTTGTAGGAACAAGAAGTCAGCAATAATATATGTTACAAGAACAAGTGAAAAGCAAATCCCAGTTTGTATTACCAATAGGTCAGTTAGTTCACGGTAGCGTTTCTCTAGCTCCATGTGCTCCTAATAGAAGGCATCAACATCAATGAGGCAATGCTTGGTTGGATCCATAACATAGAACTAAATTTACCATGAAGAAGTATATTTTATAAATTTGCATACAGAAAACAACTGAACTGAATTCCATTATATTTTCAGACTAGAAAGAAAATTTAAGAAATGAGATATCAACAACAGTAACTCAGTGCCACAGATTAGTTCAGGAATTTTCTCCTTGTCTGCATATTTTGATAGAGAACATATATACAACTTCAGCCTAGCATACAGATAAAATTTTCGGGAAACTAGGCCACAAGGACTCAAGTACATTTCACGTGCACGAGTACATGACAACTTTAAGGGAAGAGCAAACAAATTCAAGTTATGAATACAGAAACGAAAGATTGTTCTGTAATGATTTGGCACACACAATAAGATCTGACAACTTTGAGGTGGTTGAACCCAAACATACAAGAGAACAAGGCCTGTAAATTGACAGCTGATATGCAGCTAGATAAAAAAGACAGGCAATAAAAGTTAAGGCTCTACTAAGTTCAACAGTCACTTTAATGAACACTTGCAGTTTATACAGCAGCAATACTATTGATAAATCTATACTTCCTTCTAATTAATACATATTGATCAAGGTGTATGTATGTATGTGTTTGATTAAAGAATAAAAAAAGGATGAATAAATTGAACAGTTACCTGGCGTGAATAATGCTCAGCATCCCTCTTCATGGCAGCCATCTCAACCCTCATTTTCTGCACCTCAGCCTGCAGCCAGACAAATTGGTCACAGAAAACAAATCCATAAATCAGCCAGCAAAAGAAATCAGAATAATCTTACTATAATTGTACAATGATAACCGTATTATGAAAGAAAAAACATTTGATACTTGCCTCCAATGAAGAGAGCTTGCTCTCAGCATCTCTTTGACCTTGGCGTGCACGCTCCACTTCCTCCTGCCATGCCTGCATCTAATATCACCATCTTTAAGTCATGCCTTTCACAATTATAATAGTTGGTGCAACAGCTAAAGGCCACAGATTATGCCCGTAACTAGATATTAAAAGTATTTTGAACTGTTGAACTTCAAATATCTTAATGACATCCCACATCCAATTAGATTAAATGATGCATTGAGATCAAATAAGTAGGATGCTTTTTATTGCTAGACTCTGGCTGCATGTAAATGGTCCAAAATGCCATTTGCAAGATAAAATTCAGGCAGTTACATCCTCATCATATTTACCTGAACCATTTGATTGGCTTCTTCTGGGGACTTCTTTTGTCCACGACGAGCACGAGCTTCCATATCTTGCAATTCTTGATTTAGAGATGCACATTCAACCTGATATCATATCAGGTTAATTTCATGAGGCGTTTCACTTCATATTTAGCTCAGTCAGAAAGACAAACTTTCATACAAAAGCATTGTTATAAGTTTGTTTATATACCTCAAGAAGTGCCACCTTCTGCTCAAGCTCTGCAACTTTTGTTGTCCTCTCATCTGCAAGCCTCTGGACAAAGAAACAAGTTGCAATTTACAATGCTTGTTGAAATATACAGAGGCCAAATGATCAATGTACAACTTACTGCTGAACAACGAAGAGGCGCTAGCTTTGCCAAAAAAAAAAAAAAGTGATATTTTGAAATCCAAACTATATATGACATACTAACAGCAGGAGAGACTGTTGATTTTTTAATTTAAAAGAAAAATTGATGGAAATTAAATTAAAATAAGATATGGCACCATAATGGTGAAACTAATGGCAGTAGACTCATAAATAGGGCAATTCTAAACAAGTTTAGCAACTATGAAGGATATCAAATAAGTTTTTATAGCTTTAAGACAACAGTTTGCATAAAACTACTAGATTAGTAAATATGAAATTGAATATAAGAAGTCAAAGTTCCTTTGATATTACTGTATCCTGATTCTAAGATTCATATGGAATACTTTTTTTGCCACTTCAGCATTTGACACTGATGCAGATCCATTAAATGTTGATTTATGTGTTTCCTCGGAGAAAGAGTCATGGCAAATAAGATTGCGTGGGTATACCAGGTTACGCATCATAATGAAACCAGAATCCCCAGAATTCAGAATACAAATATCCAATAAACCATTGCAATCACATATTTATCTTAGTGACCTTGCTTTGCCAACAAAGAAGTGCCAAACAAAAAACGTTTATTAATAAAAACGTGAGTATGTTTGGAAATGATGTTTTCCAGGATAAACATATTTTTGAAATTCAAAATGTTGAAATAACTTCACCAAACATATGTTAATGCAAAATTTCCACCACATCAAAGCATTAACCTGAACCAACTGATATCAACTTTCAAAAGAATGAGGTAAGGCTAAATTTAAAAGGCTAATATTACATTTAACTTAAATATTAATAGAATATGCAATACTAAGTTACTCAAGTATCAAGCAAAACAAGAATATTATGCATGCAAATTAGATGCTGGTTTTGCCATGGAATCAGAAGTAAAAGAATCGTTACATTACCTGGATCCTAGCAAGAGCTGTGGATGCCTCAACAGATCGATGTTCCAATTCCACTTCCCTTTCCATAGCAGCCTGTTCCAAACAATAGAGATTATTAGAGTACAAGATAACAACAAAAATTAAATATATCAATGTTCCAAATATGGACCATTTTGGTAGCATTATGTGCTGCACGTTCTTCTTCTGCTCTCCTTTCTGCAGAAGCCAGCTCCTCACGTAGGGCCTACAAAAGAAGCATGCTGATATATTAAAAAGCTCATAATGAAACAATAGTGTATGTGTGTGTGTGTGTGTGTGTGTGAATACACATAAGTGTACAAGCAAGAAAGAACCAATTAGTTTACCTGCATCATCCTTGTCTCTGTCAATTCCCTGTTTCTCATAATAGACTCCATGTTTGCCTGATGGTGAGCAATCAAAAGTATTAAAAAACCTCAGATGATCAAAAGACACAAGCAAGGAACACATATTGATTGCCAATAGAAGAGATAGAAAAATGTCTAAATGTAGAGGCAAAATAAAGGAACAAATATTAAGTAGGATAAGGATACAAAAGCAGACATGCATATTACAATTTGCTTAGCAGGTTAACAGGAAATCATTAATGGGCTGATTTTTTGTTATAAGGGACATGAAATAAGCTCTTTAAGTTTCTCCATCATGACAAAAGCATGACTAACAGAAGTAAGAGGCAAGATCTACACTTTTTTATTTAGCTTATAAAGCTATTAATAGTGAGCTATACAGAATCTGTGGCGACAGGATCTACTGCTTTTAAGATAAACCACATGAAACCACCCACTAAATCAAATAATTGAAAGCCGCTATGTATATTGCATGCAACCCTGACAATTGCTGCTTTGATTATTTCAGTAAGTAATAAGATCTTCTAGAACATAAATTTCGAATTAGAAAGTAAGTTTATTAATTTAGATGAGGAACTAAGTAGAGACCACATTTTATAAAAATATCGCTTGGAAAACAGGGGGTTTTATAACCAACAATAACTGAATATAGTTTAGAGTCAAACCTGAAGTGATGCCAGATTTCCTTCCGATAAAGCAGTTTGTTTCTTAAGTGCATCCATAGAATTGACAAGTGCCTCAATCTCAGAGTTTTTTGCTGCCAAGGCCTCAACCATATTTGACTCTATCCTTGTTACTTCACTCTTAGATACAGATAAATCTTGCTGTAGTTGTATTACACGAGCCTCGTAAGATTTACTCAGCTCTCTCTGTCAAGGGAGCAATTCAGTATTAAAATAGTACTCCTTAAACAGCATCCATAAAAAGCATGACTATAACTTGAGAATATATCCAAAAGGAGAAAAAGGATAGAATGACTTACCTCAGCAATTAGAAGCTCCTCAAGCTGTGCATTCTCAGATTTGTATTCTTGAAGACGGGACGAAAGTCCAGCACAAACCTGGGAATCAGTGTAGAACAATTTGTTATAAATGCGAAATTACAAAATTAGAAAACAAAAAGAAAGAGAAGGCAAAAAAAAGTACAAGCAGCAAAATGTCTAATCTTTGAGCAATTACTTAAAAAGAGGCACAAAAACACTCCCACTTATTTTCAAGTTTGGCTGATTCAATTTAAAGCTTACTCTTTTCATGAGAATAATTTTTTTTAAACAAGATTATCCTTCCAAGCATTTAACAGAACAATTCTCAAGTTTCTGCCTAATTGCTGGATGGACACAAATATGATTCAGATCAAGTCATATTAGTGCACTAAATGAAAAAGGAAATAATAGCAATAACAAATTAGATGCCTACATAACCCATTAACAGATTTCAAGAAAAGAAACAGGTATGATGGTTTCATCCCAAGGATGTAGCTTATTCCGATTCATAACAAAATTATATCGTGTACACTTCATCATTTACCATCCCACTCACGTATCCCTTATGATCAGATCCTGAACTCTTCTTTTCTAAAAGTAGTACATAAGAACGATGCTCACTTCTTTGTATACAACTTAGTCTCAACACTCGTCTGAAAAAGGAAAACAAATAAATTCAGAGAGCTTACCCGAGCTAGTCTTGCTTCTTTTGATTGACCAGTGGAATTGGTGGTTTTAAGCAGTCCTTGAGCCTGGACAAAAACTAAAGGACTAGTGAATAATGCTTTTAAAGGTAAGGCACATGAGAACATCAACTACAATTTCAACTTGAGTGTATCTGTCACCTCATCAAGCTGGTCCTGGACTATTGTTGAAGGAGCATTTTGCTCTTGTGGCTTCTTTTGATTCACAGGAGTTTCAACTTTAACATCATCTTCTTTTAATTGAGCGTCAGTGTTAACAGGAGAATCAGCAACAACAGGTTGTGACCCCTCTTGGTCGGTCTTTGAAGGGACATCTGCACTTTGGGATTCAATATTTTGGTCACCATCAGGTAAATGATCTTCACTAACAACCTCAAGACCTTTGGCAGCTAATAGTGAAGGAGGGTGCTCCACATGAACATCAAAAGCATTCTCATTGAGAAGCTTGCCATTTGAAGTTGACAATGAAGCTTCCCCATTGCTAACAATTGCAGAGACTTCTTCCTGATCAGCATCATGTTTCACCACATCAGTATCCAATGGCTCAGATGAAGGAATTCCAGGGTTATCCTTCTCACTGTTGCTATACAGCTCACTACTTGTCTGCACCATAGACTTAGCACTAGAGTTTCCCTCATTGTCAGAAGAAAAAGTACCCTTATCTTTGGCAGGTGTTACTTCTGATTGTAATACTTCTGAACTTGTTTGTTTGTGTAAAGTATCAGTAAGTTCAGGAGATCTAGTTGTAGAAAGTCTTTTTTGAGCCTGCAAACAAGAAAAATCATCCAATTAAATTTGTCTTTATGAACATATTTACTTGAAATGAATACAGTTAAAGCTAATTGGAGGTTGTATGTTTGTAATACCTTTGTCCTTGACTTTGTCTTTTTTGCTGAAGAACCTTGCACATTAGAAGCTTTACAATTAAAAGGAGGGGAGATATTCATGTATGTGTGTGTGTGTGTGTGATTCTATCAGAGAGAGAGAGAGAGAGAGAGAGAGAGAGCAGATATTGTAATTCAGAAAACAAAAAAGAAGATAGTTTGGTGTTTTTACAATAGACCTCTAAAACAAGAATATTATATCAAATTAGGATTTTATTTTTCACCTCAAAATTCAAGCTGATATTATAGTTTTTGGGCTTTTAACATTTCTATTCAACAAAATTATCAGAATGCAATTACCATGAAGCTTGATATATCTAACTTTCCTGTCAGGAAAGAAACTTCAAGTTTGATTTCGCATACATCAAGTTTCCAAAGACAAAAAGTTTCACTCTAATTTCCAGAAAAAAATGGAAAAAGTAAGCATTTAAGATCCTGGATATTATTATTAAGAACAGACAAACTGTAATAATCACGACAATTGTTATAATGGTGCAAATGTCGATATTAATGGCAAGTAAAGATTGCTAAACTGATGTTCATGTCGGGATGATATTAAAAGGAATATCTATCTATTGATTTTATCTGACTTAGCAAATAATCCCCATATGAGATGGCCATTCAAGGCATAATCTCATAATAGACAGACTTTTATAACTTTAGTATCTGTATTGGACTAACACTTAGTAGATAATAACCATGAATAGGAAATTGCAAGTACAAAAGACATGGACCACATTTTTCACATTGATTTATGCAAGCAAATAACCCCTAGATTTTGAAATCCTTACCTTGTGACTGAGAATCAGATTGCTCCTCTGACAGTTCACTAACAACCAGCTTTGCTCTTCGATCTACAACTTCAAATAAATCTGGTCCAAAATAATAATTTACCTTCAATTATTATCAAAGAATTAAAAAGGAAATGTGAATGCTATTTTCACTGATGGATGGTTGGCATTTCTTAGAGCAACAATTAAGATAATGAACAATTAGGTGCAAAATCAAGTGATAAGTCTTTAGAGACTTTCCAAAAGTGCTAGAGGTTCAGACCATGTCAATGTCAGCCCTTGCATACTTTTATATAGACTGCTTACGCAGAATGTTTAAATAAAAGAAAGGGACAAAAACATTATAGCAATATATGAAACATCAGCAGGCAGCGGACAAAATAGATGAAGAAGATTTATGAACCCACTGCCAATCAACAAATGCAGGGACTTTCTCATACCTACTCTCAAGAGGAGGCCTCAAGATTCAAACAAACCAATAGTTTTAGTTTGAAACTTTTATTTTTCTATGGAAAGAAGAATATTGAGACTTCCAAGTAACAATGAAATTCTTTAACATGGATGGAAAATAACTTCCCCTACATCAATTCTAAAAACTATACCAAGAGCATCAAACCTACCCTTTGTATAGAGTCCTAACATTCACAATATTGAAAGCTATCTATTTGATACAGCTCTACTTAATACTAGACAACTGATCGAATTTTCTTATCTAATTCTCTCGACTCTATGTAATGGCCATAATAAGATGGCAAACCACATATGTTTTGGACTCAGAAATTCATAACAAGTAACAACCAAAAAAGAACCGATAACAATTTCAATACTCATATCACAATGTCAATTTCATTAAGCAATCCTTTTGTCAACAAATGTTTGTTTATACCAACCAAATAACATCAAATAAACTCCTGCTTACTGTAAATAGATTCCCGGCATTGGCATTGCCGAGAATAGGGAATAATTAAGCAAAACTAGGATCCAAATTGCACACTCCAAAATCTAACAAAAGCAAGTTCCATTCCAGATAGGCAACTCGTTATTCTAAATTTCCTCGAATGAATAAACATGCCATAGTCCCTCGTGACGTTTATAGAATAAGCTTAACTGCGGTTCACCATTTACTTCAAACTGTATCAATTGCCAAATACAAAATGGATTTCATAATTTTAGGGGGAAAAAACAAAATCTCCTTGCTCTTTAGTTTATACTCAGATAAGAACCAGCAAATTACAAGTAATTTAAAACTTAAACATAAAAAAATCAAACTAAGCGACCTAACCCATTCAAAGCTCACGTTTAATCCTACTCCATTATGATCTAATGATTCAAAGCTTTAGATCAGACCTTCAAATTTCAAATTAAAAAATTTTAAAGTTTAAAGAAAATGTAGGTTGAAATAAATTGAAAGAGAAGAGCCACACCTTCGGCGGCTTTGAGCCACGAAGCCATTAGTTATGGATCTGTAAGAAAATCGTGCCCTAGAGGATCCACGGAGCTTCCATGCAGGGGCGAGCGATATTATCAGACGGCGTCGGTGAAATTCAGCGTAGAGATAATGAAATGGTGACAAGCTAGATCTCTATTCTCTGCTAAGATCAAAAATGAAAATATTATTAGAAATTTTGGAATAGCGTTTGAGCCTTTTTTTTTTTTCCTAATAACCTTCTTTCTTTCTTTGTTATTTTAATTTTCAGAAGTCCTTAAGACAACGTTTCTGTAGTTATTTTGTTACAGGAATTTTATTATTATTCCAAAATAAAATAAAAATGTCCTTGAAGGGACTGTGGTTGGTTAAGGCGTACATTGCAAGTAAAATTGATTAACCAATAATCCCATTTTGCATTTATTAGTATAAATTTTAAAAGAAAAATAATTAATAAAAGATGGTAACGATTTTCTAAATCATATTAACGTGAAATTAATAATTCGTATATTTATATTATATAAAATATTAATAATTTATATATTTACATTATATTTTATATAAAAATTATATGTCATAATTTATATTAATATAAAAATATAAAATATAATTTTTAAATATTTTAAATTTATTTATAATTTTTATTAAAATTTTAAATTATATTATTTTTTATATTTTTTTATTTATATTATTTGACTATACCATATTTAAAATTATCAATTTCTACCTTTATACTTTGTTTTATTAATTTATGTTTGAATTTTTATTTTTATATTTATCTATATCGTACATAAGTTTTTCGAATTCATATTCTTCAAACTTCAATTCCAATATCATGTAATTGATCTTCATTCCCCTTTCTATAGATTTGGGCAACCGTTTTAAAAATGAAGGCAACAGCCCATCTAAAAAAAATGAAAGGCTACAGCCCATAGTTTTGTCTTCTCATGCTTGTAAACAGTGCCGCACTGACAAAGCAAGCATTCAATATGAATATTGGACCTCCGGTCTTGTGCCTGTTGGGTTCTAGCTTGGACATTGCTCAATCCACTATTATTGGCTGTTGCAAAGAGTCCCAATTAACATTAATTCTGATTTTAATCCTTCTTTTTCTTCTGAATTATTTTGATATATATTTTTTCAATTTGTAATATTGAAGATGGAGGTGGAGTATTAATTAAATAATATTTTCGTAATAATCTAAGCCATAATAAATCATTATATATAGTAAAAAAACTTAGCTTGATGAACATTCGATAAAAGGACTTATAAAACAAAGACGATCGAAGGTGCCGAAGTTGGTGTTCCAGCGCACACTCTTGCAACTCTTATCTTTGTATACAAAACATATAAACTAGAATTATTACTAAAATATCGAAAGCATTAACAAGTCTCCTGTTTTCATAGGGTGAACTCCAAAGGGTATACAGCTCAGCTTTTGCATTGGCTCCACTCCCCAACAGCTTTTAAGAAAAAAGAGAAGCCATCTCAGTCCATGCTCCAATACGGCAAAAACAATCAAGAAAACACAGCCCCACTTCCAGACCCCATCCTGGCTCCTAATCTTTTCCTTTTTCTAAGTTCTTATCTGTTTGTGCTAACCTCCGCGCTGAAAGTGGAAATCTTGATATCCCGTCAGAGAACGAAAGTGATTAAAAGTAAAGATAAGAAGTAATTTTTATATTTGTACTCTTATACTCAAATTAAAAGTCAGAATAAAAAAATCAAAAGAAAAATAAAAAATAAAAAATACAAGGAAAATTATATATATAAATAATATTTAAATAATTCTTATTTATAGATAAAAGATGAAAAATTCGTTAAGTAAAATAATGATTGAGCTGACATGTTATTATACATGTCAAGTTAATTTGATATGTTAAATCAATTAAAAAATAAAAAAATATTATTAATTATCTGTTAACAATCTTTAATAAAAAAAATTGATTTACCTTTTAAATTCAAAAAAACCCTCAACATTTTTCAAGTATACTTTCTTTAAAAAGTCCGCTGATCAGTTTCTCATGGGGGACAATACGAGATTGGTGCTAAAGCAAAAGGGCTTGATTTTAGTTAAAGGCTTCCTAATTAAAAAAAGATTATCGAGTTAATTAAATCGTGATTATCTGAATATGAATAGGTTTCCATCATGCATCAACAAAAACCCTAATAATGAATTTATCTAACTTTTCTACGCTGCTCCAACCAAATTTGAATGATTTCGAGGTGAAAGTGACATGAGTCAAAATCAAACAACGGGTTAGGGGGACACGTGTTTGCAATTTAGAAGTGATCTATTTCCAACTTGGAAACGGAGAAAAAGAAAAGTGACGACCACGAAAACAACAGTGGCGGCACGGTTACATACTTACATTCAAAATAATAAACATGAGCATCATAAATCGTGGTTTATTGCTTTCAGAAGGAGAAAATGAAACCCTCTTAAATTAACTGCTGGAGAGAGACTCAACTACATATGTCTTTGTATTTATCTCAAATGTAACTTTTGGACCGTTAGTAATTTCTTGTATTAATTTTCAAACCCACTGCCACCTGAAAAATGAAATTAATTATTGATGTTTTAATCAAAAAATGTTTCAGGGTAACTTTTTTTTTTTTTTGGTTTCTTAATGTGACTGTTAAGTGACTTGAATTCAAGCTTGTGTTAGTCAAGTTAAGCCGAAAAATGTCAATAGGTATTGTCAAATTATTAAAATAAATTTTTGATTATTTTAAAATCTTATTAATAAATTAAGGTTTGGAAAAGTATAATAAAAAATCGCATTGGTTTATTAAATAAAATTTATTAGTTGAAACACCCGTACGTAAATTAGGAAAATTTGATGCAAACTTAGGCAAGAGAAGGGTATTTATTAATTAATACAATAATTTCAGGGAAGTTAAAATATTTTATTATGAAACGTTCTGAAAGAATAAGTCTATACTCTTACTTGAATTAATAAATATTTAATTTGATGTATTACAATCACCTTATTGTTGTAATCAAGTCAATTTATTGTTAGGTTTAAATTTGATTTGACTCAAAAATTTAGATTCAAAATTCAACTAAAATTTGACTAAATTTAATGTTTTATATTTGAATTCAACTTGTAATTTATTCAAGAAATAGACTCAATAAAAAATAAATATATAAAATATATAAAAAATATAACTTTTTATTATTTATTTAGATAAAGTCAAATATATTTAAAAAATACAAATCCAATTAGATCACAAACCTCTGAAATCAAATATTCAAATATTCAAATCTAACTTAATTTATTATTTGTATAACTCAATTAAAAATTTAAATGAATAATTTATTTAATTAACTTAACTCATTAATATCCTACTCTAACGTCCTATGTAAATTAATCACAACCACAAATATCACAGTCAAAATTAAAACAGCAACACAACAGATAAAAAAAAGCTTTTAATAAAAAGCCCTAAGAGCTAATAAATCCAAAGCTCTCCAACTCCTCAACCCTCAAAAGTAATTCATTAAAATTCTCTACTTACATGAATGCTCCAACATATTTATATTATGTCTGCTTTACTTTTATTATACCTTGTAACTTACTACAGTTGGAATATTGAATTTTTAATGGAACAGAAACTACAATTACATATATATACATAAATATAATTTTTTTTCTTCTTTTATTTCTGTATGATAAAGATTATTGACATTGGTAAATGAAAAAGAAAAAGATAAGCACTAAAACCCAGAAAAACTTACGAATATTAATATCTAAAAATATTTCTTAGTCATCAAATTACAAAATGTAAATTATACTGCAAAACCCAAGTAACCAAACTTTGTCAGAATCTCAGATAAAAAAAATTCTCACACGAAATGAAAATTGAAATTTTATGGTTATAATATTGCAAATAATGTGACTTGGTTTCGCTTGGTTTTTCCTGTGAAGTTGTGATAATCTTCCAAGAGATAGCATGGAAATTGTACAAACAAGAGTTGTCGAAAACGAAGTCATGATCTACGCCATGTGTTACGAGCAGGAGACTCAAAGGCAGACACTCTTTTCTGTAACTTAAGGTCCTTGTAAAACTTATCTATGAACTCCTCAGCCGCTTTATCGACCTGGCTATCTCCCTCGTCCTTCAACGGGAAAGGCGAGTCCGTCACTCTCAGTTGCCTCACCATAGGACTCTTTCCAAACCCTGGCAAAACCATGGGAGACGCCTCCACCGCCGCCTCATTGTTCAACATCTCCAGAACCTTTTGCAGCGCCGCGACCGTCGTCACATCATCATACCGACAATTAGATGACTTGCTAAAATGGTGGCGGCTGTTGTAGAAATGGTGATTATGGTGCTTACGCTTGTGAGCAGCGTAAAAGGGGTAGAAAGCTGGGCTGTTGCTGCAGCTAAACTCGTACTCTCTTGGGGAAATGAAGGAGAGATGAGCATCGTTGGATCGGCAACTCAAGGAAGATAAATGGTCATGGATTTTGTGGTTGAAAACAAGGTTGTTTATTGCTTTGCCTGCATTATATTTACCCTTCTTGATCATAAAATGGAGATCAACCATTATTTTGCTCTTCGATATCCCTGTCTTTAACATGAAGAAAACTATCCGTACAATGTTCCATAACTTTTTTGCTACAACTGATGGGCTTGCCTCCATTTCCATTTTTTGTACTTTCTTGGGTGAGAGAGAGATCTTTCTGTTCTTCTTTTTTTTTTTTTAATTTCTTAATATTTTTGGGTAATTTTTGAGAGAATAGGGAGAGAAAGAGAGGGTGAGAGAGAAAGAATTAAAAACAGAGGAAGGGATCTTTGGTTTGGACGCAATGGGGGAAGAGATGCATCGAGCTATATAAAGGGCTGGAAAATAATTATTTATTAATCAAGATTAATAGTATAAACAAGCAAACAGTCCCCACTCTACATTATCGCGCGTTTATATAAACCAGAAAAAAGCTTTGAAAATTGCTCAATTGCAAAGCTCTCACGCGCTTCAAGAGAGAAGGATTATGATTTCCGTGCAAGAGAAATAGAGGTCGAAAATTTTCATTTATTTGTTTATAGTTAGGGTTTTTGTCGCACTTGAAATTACTAGAAGAACCCTAGGATGGAACCAAATTACTTAAGTATAACCTTGGGTTCAATGATTAAAGGTATTTAAGTGTGTTCAAGACGTCGAAAAAGGGCATTGCCGTGGACACTAAGGTGATCGTTTAATTTCATGTTGTCTAGATCACAGCTCAAATGGGTTAAATCCTCACCGTCTATGGTTGTATCTTTGACCGTCAATTTTGCATATTAAAAGAACATATTAAATAGCACCTGGACCCCAATGTGTGACAGCATTGACAATTTACAGCTAGCCAAACTTAATTTGCTGTGAAAATTCAAAGTCTAGCGGCTACGCTTATAATCATAGTGTATGGTTAAGGGTTCAGCCATGGATCGGCAATGGCTTTTTTTTTTTTTTTTGTCTATATTAATGTTGGTGTCAAACTCAATTTAAAAAAACAAAAGATAAAGACTTGAAATCACAAGAGATTGGAGATTAGTTTAAAATAAAAATTAAATATATTTTTTATTTTTATATTTTGATACTCAAATTAATAATAAAAAATTTTAAAATGTGCTAAGAATGAATCCTTTTATCTTAAATAAAAGGGGTATTTATATATGAAAAGGGAAGTGATTCAAACTCTGAAAAATAAAATTAGGATCAATGGGATCTGTTTTACCTAACATAGCAGGAGAAGAACCAACCAAAAAAATACTAAGTCAACGTATTCACATATCACCCAATGATTTGTAGAGTTATCGTAGATTTGGAGAACTCATTCAACCTGCCACAGTAGCCCAAACCCAATTATTAAAATGAGTCGAGTTTGATAATAAATTATTTTTTATTAAAAAATATTATTTTATTCTTTTAATCATAAAATGCCTTTACACCTAATTAAATGGAAAATTAAATTTTCTCATTAGTGTTGATTTAGACTACTATCTCACAAAATGGTGGAATCTATTCTCATCACGTCATAGTTGCGTTTTATATTCATCACGGCACAGTGAGAATGACTCTTATCACGTGCCAAAGGCACTCTTAATAATAAGGCAATGATGTATTTTCTGTGGTCACTTTATTCTTGGTTACAGAGTTAACTACTCTATTTTTTAACGCAGCTAGTATTTATTTTGGACATTTAATTATGATGAATTAAATATGTGGAAGTGAATAATGAAGTGATCAATATCGTTTTTGAAAGTAACTCTTGACAATTTATTGCTCGGACAAATTGTGTAGCAAGTAAATATGAAGGTGCTTTTGAGTGAATTGAGCTAACAATTAACAAGGGTTTTCTAAACCAGTACTTTAAATATTAAATAATTAATTTTTTTAATGCTTTAAAATTTCTTAGCATTAACTTTCAACTATGAAATTTATTAAACAAACATATATTATTGTAAATAATATTAATTTTTAATCAACTTTTAAAAAATTCTTAAGATATTTGTTAACAAAATCGAATCCTAAATATTAGATTATATATGATGAGTGAATAGGAATCGGGGAGGAATCGAACCTCCCGGCCGGCTAGCCCGCGTTCGTTCTAATCGGTCTCTCTCCATTTTCTTTTCCGTAGCAGTGAAGCTCTCTTTTATTCTGGTTGAAAGCGAAGGTGGAAAGTAAAATGAATCGGTCCGTATCTTGTAATATAGTTTATGACTTTAAGCAAATTAATGAAGTTGTTGTGCAAGAAACAAAAGTTGAAAAGATTATGACTGGAATCGTGTCCGAAGTTTGGCTCGATTGAGATTGTATTATACCAAGGTTATTTGGTTGTTTCTTGCCAGCTTTTTTCATGACGATGGAGTCGCAAGCGGACAGAAATGACTACCAGCCACTATTGGGACACGTGGCAGACTAGTTGAGGTCCTGATGAATCTATGGCCGTACGTACCAATATCAACCTTCGAATACCATCATCTGGGCCATTCGATTTGGTAGGAACAGGGAAGGGGCCGAGTGGGATCCCTCTTTGCGTTTGTCAACGACGGCCGGCGGCCAGGAAAAGAAAGCTTGGAGATACGGCTAGGACAATAATTGTGCGAAAAATATATAAAAGCTTACATATAAAAAATCCTAATTCAACCAAAAACTTGAGATAATCAAAATGATATTTTTTAGACAATAAAAATGATCCTTTTTAATTTCTTTAATCTCTTTTCTTTTTTTAGATTGAATTGTTTTTTTATAATGTATTCTCTTAAATTTTGTTTAGTACATTTTTTCAAACCGATTTATTATTATTTTTTATCATGCTTTGATTCATGAAAAGAAATGCGCTTGCTATTTTTTTTATTTTTTATTTAATGATGCAATTTTTAGAGTTCATTATTATTATTTTTTCAAATTGAATCCAGTATATCATTATGTACATGTGGGTGGCAGGACTGAAAAACACAAAGTGGGGCAAACATTGCCTCTCTTTCAGCAATAATGGCGAAAATGACCAACCTGTACGTGCCAACTGATTGATTTTGATTTAAAAAAAAAACTGAAAAATTTTTAACAAACAAAAAGGAATTGTTTGAGCATTTCAAAGTATTTGTTTTTTTTTTAGTCGGATTGGATTTCAATTGGATTTGTATTTAATTTTAATAATTTATATATTTATTTAAATTTAATTTGATTTAATATTTTAAGTTTCAATTTTTTTTCAAGTTTAATTTTAATTTAAAAAACTCAAACTTATTTATTAAACTTAATTTTTATAATAAAAAATTTAAAAATAAAATATTAAAATAAAAATTCACATATATATTTATTTACATAATTATATATATTTTATTAGAGTCGAGTTGGATTATGCTTAAATTTTAATTATTTATCTAAAATTCGATCCAAAATTTAAATAAATTTAAATTTTATATCTAAACTCAATTAACAATTTTAATTTTTATTTAAATACTCTCAAAATTTAGACGAACCTTTAAAGTTGAGCTGATAACCATTGATCAGATCTATTCTAAAGTGGCTATTATTTAAAATATTTTACTTTTTCTTTTTGGTAAGTAAAATATTTTACTTTGTTCTTAGCTTCTTGGCTTGTTTAATTTGCACTTTTCTTCTACATATGCTCTTTGAACAATGAAAGCAGCTTTCAAGCTGGGTCCTAAGACATTAGAAAACTTGCACATGACAAAGAGGAATCCAAAGCTGAGGAGATCCCTAAGATGCCAATATTAGTCAAATTGAGAATTGGAGGTTAACTATAACAAATAACATTTTTAATTTGAATTGCCATTTAAAATGATAATTTTTTTTCTGAAAATTCTTTTTCGATGCATGCATGAACTTCACGTTCTTGACAATTTCTCATATCCCTCTTTTTCATTATTAATAAAAAATACATAATTTGAACTTCACATATTCTTTTTTTTTTTTTTTAAAGATATATGAAGGCGGCACATTACGTTTTTTTGGAACATGTGATTACTTCGAACTTGTCATATACCGTACTCTGATTTAAGATTCAATAGAAGCAGAATTTTAATAATTAATTTAGATTGCTCATTAATAATTAATAATCCTTTTTTTTTGTCTAATAAAAGTTTTCGTCAGAAAGAAAAAAAAAAAAAAAAGCAAATCCATCAGCATCCACAGAGAGCACTTAGATGTTTACTTCTTTTAATAAATCACGAAAAGAGGGCTCAGTTTGGTGGATTTGCTTTAGAAAAAAAAAAAAGTTTATGTTTTGTTCAAAATAATGCCCTTTATACTGAGACCGACAGAAATTGCTTTTGCCGGTCCTTATTTGTCGATGACTTTTTTATATTAAATATATAGTACATTCAAGATTAATGTTAATTAGAAAACATTCATAAAACTCTACAATAAAGCCATTTATCTCAAGACGAACTAGTTTATCGTAAATGAAAATCATCAGATAAAGATAAAAAAAAAAGTCAACAATCTTGAGTTTAATTAATAAAATATTAAAATTTTTACTTGAATAATGAAAATTTTATCATTAATTATCTTAAATATAAAAAATAAAAAAATATAATCGAGATTTTTAGAAGCAAATGACATAATAATTAAAGTTATATTTAATATATAAGATGATAATCATTTTATATCATATTTGATTTGTATCTAAACAAAAATATTAGATTATAAAAAGAATTAATAATCTTTTTAGTATAAAATAATTCAATTCTCTCCGATTGAAAAAAATTATTTTTAATTCATGAGATTAAATTTATATATAATTATATCTTTAAAAAATATATATTAATAATTTAAATTATATAAATTTAAAATAAAAATAATAATTTTGATAAATAAATAAATTATATAAATTATCGTAATCTTATGTATCAAATATGTCTTAAAAAACTCATAATTAGTTAGTATTTTCATTTGTGAAAATAGAGATAAAGGCATGCAAAACTTGGAAAAATGTTATAAATACAAAGCAGTAAACTCGGCACGAACTCGTCGACCATTTCCGGAGGAATTAAAAAGGACAAAAAGGCGTATTGTAGCGTTGGAATTAATTAAAATGAGAGCAAAAGCGTGTCAAACCGATGAGCCCTACAAGGATAACCACTAATCTCAAATCTCTGTCCTCCAATCAAACATTGTTTGATTTTTCATATCGAACACCATTGAAAGCTGTTTACATATAATTCACATTAATTTCAAGATATTTGATGTCCTAAATTATTGGTGGTCCGACCCATTTTTA